TCAAGTTAATTTTGTTCTGAAGATTATAAATGAAAATATGTTAATTAAAATTATAAACGTTGTGTTTAAAATATGTGTTTAACCTAGCCGTATTATCCCGGTCAAAACTTTGCAGAAACTAAAAATAAATGTCTTCTGTCTTACCTCCGAGGTTCAGTAATTAGACACCGGAAAACATCGTAACAACCGATGAGATAAAATACATCATTAACCAGTCGTAACAAGTCAGGCGCTCGCCACGAGCGTCAGCTTCCGGTAGCGTTAACTTCCGGTAGCTTGTTAACAACGCTTGGCTGGTAACGTCTAGAGATGATTGGTTTTCCTGTGTTAAATTATTTTCTCACGCTAGAATTTGCCACCAAGGTGACAAGCTACTGGTTTTGTTCAAGATGACTGTCTTCTGGGTCGTTGCGCCGCGTAGTCTGGTAGAATTTTACCGACGTTTCAGAGGTCATTGCTGACGCCAACGACCTAGAAGACAGCCATCTTCAGACTCACCGTCGTAAGAACTTCAAATCCTACAGTTTTGTTATTTCAAAATCTGCATTAAAGTTATTTTGAACGCTATGAAAATGTATATACAATGATGAAGGCTACTATCGCCATAATTTTTCGCAACTCTTCAATGAACTGCTTCGTTATAACTTTCGAAAAAGCCTAGAATCTTCATTAAATACAACAGATGTTACAGCTAACACGATTAATTGTTGAGGCGTTGGCATATTCCAAACTTTGTTTTCTTAATTAGATTCTTTTTTAATTTAATTTATTAAAATACTGCGAACAAATTATAATTGTGTGGTTAAAACTGCAATGAATAGAAAAATCTCTACTACATGAACTTTTATAGACGTTTCCCTTGGACATAACGACAACTAATTCTGCCTCTGAATTTTCGAAAGTTGACAATGGTTTGTGCCGATTATGGATAAATATATTAACTTTGACAATTTTATTTTAATTCACACTCGAAGCATCGTTCACAGAAACAGAAAGCCACGCTCTGACTGTGGTGTGTCAACGTTATTTAATACAAGAGTTAACTTCGCGCCCATAAGTAATACAATTCCTGTGTAACTAAACCTCTATATAAATGGCATCATGTCCAATTTCAGGCTGGTTTTCCATGTTATATATCAGTTAACAGACGCGAGATTTCACAATGTCATAATAATTTAAGTACTTGGAAATGTGACCTACGCGCTATGCAAAATGAATTGTTGTTTTTTAATACTACTGTCCCTGTAACATAGCTTGTGATTCACTTTATTTACGCTAAATTCATCAGTGAATGACGAATTTTTGAAAATCAGCAGTAGAAATCAGCAGCTTGTATCTTCTTACTCTACATAAATTTTATATTCAAATTGGACATCTCGTACTAAACACCACAATATGAAGATACATGAGAGATCCAAATTAAAGTCGAAATTATTTTTGATCTCGGAAACAAGGACAGCGATGTGTTTTTTAAAAATATTTTATTCCGTAAAGTTTTGTAACAAATTATATATTTTCCTTCCATTAAAATCCTAATGTATAATGAGTCTGATATCAATTATAATTGCAATGATACCATTTTTTAGACAACGATACGTAATTTAACAAAACAAAACACTGGCTACCTAGTATAAGTTATGCATTATCTGTAAACTCGTATATAAGCCCAGTTTTCGACAACGTGCCTGTTTGTGTTTTTATTTAGTTTATTAATAGGGAAAAAACAATGTTATGTAAAATTAAAAAAAAATTTAAATATGGTTGAAGAGATTACTAGTGAATAGCTGAAATTGAAAGTCCATTGTTTCAAAGTTCGTTGGAATTTACACCTGAAAATAACATTTTAATTCACGTGATTGTAGCACTGTTAACTAACACAAATCCAAAACTGTATCTCAACTAAATTTCCACCTCAAAAAAAAAACTACATTTCAGCCGAACAAGAACTTTTTACAAACTAGCTTCGACAAAATACTGCTCGCTTTCCACCAACTGCTAATCCAGAATACATTAAATACATAACGATAAATACATGCGTGTATTTATAAAGTTATAAAAATAATAAACCTTCGACTTTATTATATTAACATCTCGGTTCCTAGAAAATGTCTAGCGACGCACCTAGGTTCATAATCAGTCCATTTCAAGTCGTCCTCTGAATGAACACGAAATACGCCAATATAATACATGTCTGTGTTAACATTTATTTAAAATTATTAAAATGTTTACGTGATTTTCAGGTACACTACACCGGATAGCCCAGACTGCTTGGTGTGACATTCATAAGATGATTATCTGCACACACGTCATAGTGAGAAACTGTACATTCAATTGGGGGAAAAAATGTTACCTACTTTTATGTCAGCCTTCGAGGTGTTTAATTTAAATAAACGAGCTGTATGCAGACTCGTACATACTCTGTCAGAAGGATCGTAAAATTAATACCAAGATTGAACTATTCTGACAGTGAGACGCGATTAATATAAATGTGGAAAATCCGTAGATTTACACATTTCAGCAAGAATTTGAACGTCGTATCTTCCTCCCGCGTGTCAGCATTCAAAATAGATGGCAGCCCACAACACGGGAGTACCCGATGATGAATTTTTTTTCTGTAACAGTGGCAACCAGATGGATTCAGGACATTCCCCATTCGGTGTTTCATATTAATGTTCCCTCTGACGAGAAATTTCGCATGTCATCATTTATGTCAGTTTATGATTTTTACCTGACAGAGACAACGTGGCGGAACTGGATAAAATGACATGCTGAGGATATTCACAAAATGTTTTCTTCAACAAATTTTATTTTTAATTAACAAATCGAGGAGGATGAAATGGGCGAGGCAAACTGGAAAACGTGAAGGAAACAAACAACTTTGAAGATCTAAGCGTAGACGGAATAAAAATATTAACATGTAACTCAGATGAAAACAATGCGGTGGTGTGTATCGGATTCATCTGGCTAGAACAGAGGCCAGTGGCAGGCTGTTGTGAACACGGTAATGAACATTCGGTTCAATTTCTTGACGGGCAGAACGTACTATTGAATAAAGTTTTTTGGCTAGTATTTCTTGACGGGCAGAACGTACTATTGACGGAACGTTCCTCATAAAGTTTTTTGGCTAGTTTGTTAGATGAGTAAAACGTATGATAAAAAATGGAGTACTGTACAGAATTTAGGTTCCAAAATCTCATGATATATTGTCACTTTTCTGACACGGAGTTAGACCTAGGAGATGTTGTGAAATTAAAATGAATCTTATAAAGATTTTGGAGAGTTATTCTGTATGAAATCGACATATGGCAGATTCGAACAGAGGTATTCCATAACAACAGCAAAATACTGATTAGTATTCAGCTGCACAAAGAACTCTGAACCATGAAGCTAATAAGCCAGTGAGTTACTGTTAATTTACACAGAATCGTATTTAACAATAAATACTACAAATGCATTAGACTAGTCCTTAATTCCGCTTTTATCAACAAATGGAAAACTCACGGGGAGCGGGAAATGTTTTTAACATACCGCGTTGGAAATGGTCTTTTTTCCTGGTAGAAACGTTTTTGTACAAAGAGCAAACTCCACTAATTCTGTGATCATTTATCACTGCTGATGATCTATGAACATAATTCCTCGCCAGGATTCCCCATGTACATACAGCATTGTAAAAATTGCACTGCAAATTTGTATCATCAATTTTCAGCTGAAATTTTTTGTATTATTTTATGGTTGTTACATATAAAGAATTATTCTCCAAGAAAAAATTACAGAACGAGATTTTTAAAAGGACACGTATTAGCCGTCTATTAGGGAATCTAATTGAAACAAGTTAGGAAATAGACGCGTAGCGTAACAATTGTCTCACGTCTACTCTGTGGATTGCCTCTAGATTTTCTCTTTGTGTTTAATAAATTTTGATGCGTGAAACAGGTGGGTCGTAGGAGCATGGACTTCTAATACGAAATTTAATCAAAATCAATCCAAGGGTTCTCGATTTATAACAGTACCGTCCGGCTTAAATCGATATCCGTGTGTTCCGACAGAATTTATTAAAATTCCACAGAGTCAAATTTCATAAAAGTTGTACAGCAGCTCTCGAATTACAGCGGAAAGACAGAAAAATATATCGGAGATAATAGACAAATTTTCGTAACTTTTATTTACGAACAAGACAATAATGAATGTTTCCTTTCAAATGATATATCTGAATACATTGCCCAGTCGTTTTCATTGTTTGGAGGATACTAATGTACATAGTGACGAAACGTCGCGGTGATGTGGTCGACCAATTACACTTTCTACGATTTTTCCAAAACTGCCAAAACGCATGGAAAACGATGTTTCCATAGAGACAGGAATACGTCGGTTACCAAGAGACCTGTAGTACTCGACCCATGTTGATATTTCAGGTTCTTACAGTGACGAGTGTGAATATGACTGTCTTCTGATATGTTTCGCTGCATTCTCTGATAGAAACTGACAGACATTCGGAGGTGCTCACCGCCTCCATCATCAGGACGATCATCGTCATCTTTTTAACCGATTATTCTTACGAAAAAAAATACTTGCTGAAATTTATTTTTTTTTAAAAAAAAATTATAAATTCTATGTCCGGTTTTCTTCTCAACTTAACCGTATGGTTAAACAGTAGTGAAGATATTTAACGTTAATAACTGATATTCAGTTATGCTAAGAGAATTTTTTTTTCGAAGATTGTCCTTTCATCCCTTCACACACGTGAGAACTCCAGTCATCACTTCATAAAAATTACAATCGACTCATCACTTACTTACATACCCTAGCACACGTTGTCATAAATGACAGTCATTTTCGTCAGTATTTCCGGAAGCTTCTGAGATGGAGTGACAAAGCAGACAATGCGACGTCATCTGTTCTATCAAACAGAGCCAAAACCTGTTCATCAGATTCAGAGAACGACATTCGCACGCTCATGAAGTCCTGTCATGTCTATTCTAAATGTCGCTGTTCTCTTGCAGCAGGGAAAATCGAACGCTACGCAGCTGACTTTACGACACGTTCAGCTCTCTGTTTCCGGACGATACAGCTGCGAAGTGTCAGCAGATGCACCGTCCTTCCACACCGCCCTGGTCTCTGGGGACTTGGACGTCGTAGGTGAGTTACCGCACTGACCAGTAGCTTGCGTAATTCAGGGCAAAACGTGATTCAAGGAAAAATAACGCCTTGTTATGTGTCATCTAAGACCTTTTTTGTTCGCGTACCCCCAGATATAATTTCTCTTCAACTTTGTACCCCCAAAGTTATTGGTGTATAATTCAAGTTATACATAGTATATAATCTATATGTAAAATAAATTAAATAAATTACATTACTGATTATTCAGTGTTTATCATAAAAAAAAAATTTAAAATTTCACGTACCCCCTAAGATTTCTTCGCGTACCCCAGGTTGAAACCACTGATTTAAGGTACAGGCTATAAAAAAACCTACATGGTGTTTCCAGAGTAGATTTTACTCCCGTTTTCAGGTAACTTATTGTCAAAATACGGGCAGTTAATTATGAAATAATTGTTATTATCTGTAACTGTATATATAATTTTCAATTTGGCTCTTATTGTTTATGAGCCGAGACAGCTCAGTCAGTATAGTGACTAACTACGGGATGTACGACTAGGGTTCGACCCCCGACGGGGGCAGAGGATATTTCCTCCAGCCTCTGCGTGCAGACCGGCTCTTGGGTCCACCCAGTCTCCTGTCCAATGGGTACCGGGATCCTTTCCCGGGGTTAAATCGCGGCCGGTACTATTGTTTATTAAACCATAATATTACTTCACCTTTTGTATAGGTGGGAAATTTGGTATTTTGTCTTTGAAGCAGAACACATGGCAACAAATGAACAAAGATTTTAATTATAAGGAAGTTCATAATTTTTAGGTTACTCTTTATTAAATAACATTAGAGTGATCAAATCAATGAGGATTTTATAAGGTGGGAATTTGGTATGTAATGAGAAGATGAGTAATGAGTGCTAATTTCAGTCAGATAACTTGAATGATTATGATTATCCAGGCGTAGATGGAAAATGTTTAATGAAAAACGTATGACGATGTGGTCTGAAGTCATTTGAGTCGATATAAGTGGTCACATGAAAGGCGGGGGAGTGCTTGGCCATCTGACCCCCTCCTCAAGAAGAAACTTGGTCCGTTAAGTACGTAAGTACGTAAAATACGTATCTGTCAGTCTGCGTCATTTTAACTAAAGCAAAGCGGAAGATATCCCTACGCCAATACAAGCCATTTCAGCCTTGCGTGGGACCTAAAACCCCTGGCAACAGTGCGGAAATAATTTCAATAATTATGAAGCGACCCGCAGAGTTGAACCAAACTGCATCATGCAACAGCACCGCTTACACGGGGCGAATGTCCGTTCCATTATGAATAAAGTCTCGTGTCAGCTTTCCTGTATATGACTCATGTCAAGAAGGGAAACATTTGGGAGCGAGTGGACTGTATATGAGACAGATTTTGACGTAAACGACGAGAGGACTGTTGTCTGTTCACATCAAACTTCGTTATCACTCCAAACGCACAGGTATTTTAATTTAAAATTTGCAATTAACATTCTTCAAGAAATTAATTTTCCACATTTAAACAAGGTTTCAACAAACAACAAAAAATTTTCCTCCCAGAAGCCATATGTCAGACTTTCAGTAAACAATTTAATGGTAAGATTGGTTAGGTACTTAGCAAGAATGGAGAAGGGGCATTATAGTCGTAAAACCCCAAACTACAGAAATAAATTCAGAATGTGTGTACACTGGAAAATAACGTACAAATAAAATTCTTCAAAAATAAAACTACGTCGTTGTAAACAAATTTTAAAACAACTTCAAGTCGCTGTATTGTAAACAAATTTTAAAACAACTTCAAATTACTGTGAAGCCATCCCTTCTACATACTGAAATAATCCACAATTTGAGTTGTGGTTACAGAAAAGCATTTGAACTTTGTATAATTTTCTCTTCGTCGGTACTAGCGAGATAAATCGCAACGCTGCTGCCATCTATGATCATCCCCTGAAAATTGAGAAATCAAAGCAGTGTCAAAGAAAATGGACTTTCCTTTCTTGACACTCGGGGATCAATTCGCTGTTACTTAGTTTAGTAAAAATAAACGACTTTAAGTAATTTAGAATAAAAATTTAAAATTCTTAGTTGAAACATAACCTAGCCACTAGCAGGCGTGTTTTAGATCAGCGGGGACTGAATCAAGGCTTACGAGGTGCGATCAGAAAGTTTCAAGAATGCGCCTATAAAAACCCGTACACTTATCTCAGGTATTAAATTCATCCATCACCCTCGAAGTAGTTCCCCTGGGAGTGAACACAACGATCCCAGCGCCGCTGCCAAGCCTGGAAGCATCCCTGGAAATCTTTCTTTGTGCACACGCCATTCCGAAATTGCAGGAGGGTCGGTGTAATGCACTACCAAAACGCCCGTAACTAAGAAACAAATGCTAATTCGATGATGCCGGCTGGCACACTGATTCACTATGAATGTAGGCCGCATCCCCTAGAGGCAGAAGCTCGTACTACATCCGGTTCGCCCTCTATTGACACAGTCTTGAAACTTTCTGATCGCACCTCGTATAGTCTCTAAGGATCTATGGTCGCCTTCCCGATACCTATATTCGGGTTTTCATTTATACCACAAGTCAGGCGTGTCTTCTCGTTACATGTCACCTTTAATTTATCACCCGTTATTTATCTTCCTTTCTTGCCACTGTCCTGCTGTTAGGTGGACTGATTCTGTCCAATCGCTGTCACAACTGGTCGATGGGTTTTTACGTATCAAATTGTTCACCCAGTTTCAGCTGCAATGTTCTGTAACTAACGTTCTACTGGCTGAAACTTCACTAAAGTCTTCTGTGTGCTACCACTAGGTTCAGAGACAGAAGCATATGAGCCAATATATGGCGCCAGTGTTTTGTGAAAGAAAATCAGCCTCAGTGAATTAAACCTGCGACGCTGTGGTCCTATATCTTTTCAACAGATAATCTGTCGGTGACGTAAACACTTCCCAAAATGAAAGATTAATATCACGGTAGAGCCCCTCTCAGAAATAAAGTCCACTATAGACATGCATACTTACATGTTAGATCAGAGATTTATTTACGTAAACGAGAGACATGTACGAATGTCCTTGTACGTAAATACGATTACATATATAATTCAACAAATTTATTATTCTTTCAAAAATGATATCAATTCAAGTTCGTTCAGAATATTTATATTAAAATAAATTCGCAACATTTTTCTGTAATGAAGAGAGTATGATCAATCAAACAACTCACATCGTATCACATTTAAGTTTTCAATCTACTTTCCTCTCACAGAATAGTTAAGTACGTAATAAGCACAAACTCCATAGTAATCATTTCCGATGTTAATATGTTGCAGAGACACCTCGTGGCAGACCGGTGATATCTGGAATACGTCATCGGTATCGTACTGAAGAAACTCTCGGTGGAAACTGTTCATCCACATGGTCTAAGCCGGCCGCTAAGTTAACCTGGTTCATTAATGGCAATCCGGTGGGTGAGAAGGGAATAATTACGTTCTAGTTCTGAACTGTTTGCTTACTGGGCTAATTCACGTTACTAAACCCTGTTAAGGTAGTCGCCAGTTGCATTTCAAAGTCACGCTTCCTCGCGTTACATCACGATTGCCTTTTCAGTTTGATACGATAAACTACGAATAACTACGAGCAGACGAATTTCTCGTGTTTTGAGGTAAGAAACGCGTTTTAAAATTTAATATTTGTTTATAATTTTTTTCTCCCAGCGCTACCTGCTACAGATAATACAATATTGGAATTACTAACTAACTAACTAGATGGCTTACCGAACCCGAAGGTTCATCACCGAATTAACCAAAGCCCTCCACCGGACCCTGTCCTGTGCCAACAAAATCCAGTTTCCTTCAACTCCTATCTCCCATAGATCCCGCCTGAGATTATCCTCCCATCTACGTCTAGGTCTCCCCAGCGGTCTCTTCCCTTCAGGCTTTCCAACCAGTACCCGGTGCACACCTCTTGTCCCATCCATGCGCGCTACATGCCCGGCCCATCTCACTCTTCTTGACTTAATCACCCTCACAATACTGGGGGAGCAGTACAGATTTTTAAGCTCGTCATTGTGCAGTTTTCTCCACGCCCCATCGTCTTCCCTCTTAGGCCCAAATTATATCATAGACATTAAGAAATAAACCAGTCTAATATGTAGACAAGAAACATGACAAATCTAAGTCAATTTCATGAGACAAACGAGGTTCAAAAAATGTAATTTAAAACATTCAGTTGTTACAACAAACCAAAGCGTACAGCAACAAACACTGTAAATAAAAATGCAAATAAACCAGATTGTCTAAAAAATAGGATATGGGAAATTTCAAATTTGTTACTTTCAAAACTGTTTTAAAACCTCAAAATAAGGTTTTGCTATGAACTGGTTTTCTTACATCCTACTCGCTTCTCAAGTCAGCCTTCCGGCTTATTATTTATTAATGATCGTATCCTTTGACGCCGTACAGTCTGAGTTATTGAGAACGCCGTTAAATAAATCAAAAATAAATAAACTGTTCATTTTCAATTTAAAATATGACTCGAACTTCTACTATCCATACATGCTATCGTTACACACTAGAAATGCAGACAAACCGAGTCCACATAACTTATCCGAGCACGGAACTAAACGCAGAATCTCTCGAAATTAAAATGATGGCAACTGCATACAAAAATTTTAGGTTTTTTTTTTTCCAACTTTCTCCTGTTTTCATGCTTAACGTTTTTAAGCCTGTCTATTATTTGTCTGTTTTAACACGGAATTTCCATTACACATTCAACTGTCCTCGGTTAACTCGCTCAGGAATGCTCACGACAAGCAAAACAAACCTGGCATTTCGTTTGGCGTTAAAGTACGCACAAATATAAGCGATAAATGTTAACTGTCGTAACTTTGTTCCGCGGTAAAAAGATTTTCGTTTATCGAATAGCGGTAAATTCTGTCGAATAACTTACGAAAATTGGAAAATACTTTTTTAAGTGGTGATAATTTAAGATTTAATATGAATTAAATGGGCTTTATAAAATCGTAATAAAACAGCAAAATATTCTTTGTTGTCTTAAAACTAAGCGGAGACCCTTTTTGATAAGAACAGCGCGCGCGTTGGGTCCTTTCTTTTGTTTATTGTGACGGTATGGAAATGAGAAAATACGAAGAAAGCAAAAACTTAACACTCAGCTCCTTACATTTCCGTATCCGAGTCGTTCTTTCAATTTCGGTCTCTTTAAAAGCATTTTAAATAAAAGGAGCACTTTGAATCGAATTCCTACGTACAGCAGGCTCACTTGGAAACGCAGTACGACGGGGATGAGAACGTATTTCAACCTTTTCATTTTTACAGAAATATTTTGTATCAAAGTCATAATGGAAATTTTTAGAAGATTTCAGAAGCTGCCTGCCACAACCTCATTCCAAACACTATTGTGCTTCAAACCTCTTCCTGAAGAGCCAAGCGGTGCTAGACACAAAAGGTACCCGACTATGTCATCCGCCTAGTACAACAATACAAAAAAAAAACTAATTAAGAATTTAATGACTGGGTAAAATCATTGCGATAACATCAAGTAGTAAGCAAGATAGGTCCTAAATGAGATTTCAGGTTCTCACGGATACGAGCATGAAGTTTACTAACTTTTAGAACGTTTTACCATGTATACTCTCGTAGAAGCTGAACGACGTTTCGGAGTTTCTTACTACCTCCATCATTAGGGCGATCAGTACCTCATGAATGGAGGAATTTTGTTCAATTTGGCTTTGCATAAAAGGTTAAGTTTAACTGTCGATATTTCAATAATATTTTTCTTATATCCCAGTGTTGTTAGACTTCTAAATTTAGACATTTCCATCATAAAGGTGAAGTGCATTGGGAAACATTACATTGTAAGTTGAAACACCACCAGCTAATGTCTGAAAATCTGCGACGTAGCAACAAAGTATGCAAGAGATGTTGAGCCCCTGCGTGAAGCATACGTCATAATTAGCAAGCACATCGCATTCTGGACTGATGAATGCAAGTCGAGACAAAAGGAGTAAAGAACAAAAACCGGGAAACAACAAAGAATGACATGAAAGGGGAAAAAGATAAGACCTAGAAATAACGTAAAACAAAAAAAAGCAGACAGAAAATTAAAATAAATAATGTCTGACCACAAAATATACGACAATCTTTAATATCAAGGTAATGTGTAAGTTCAAAGGGAATTACAGGTAAATGTAAAGTATTTTGTTATTATAAGTTACAGTAAGTTACAGTTTTATGGCATTTTATAATAAAAAAAAACACATTTCAGTTCATAGGACTATTGATTTAACATTTTTAGAGGGGCAGCATTATTTTAAAATGTACAAACTCATCTTTATCTGCAGCTGAACCACAGTCATTTGCTAGCTAAAAAGAAAACAAATGATAAAACATGAAATCATAATTGGAATTTAATATGGCCGACCGTAAATATATCGTTCTACGTATTGCTGTATGCACGAGCCTCAAACACACGCTGGTTTTTTTTCCTCGTACACGCGTGCAACACGAAAAGCCTTTGACAATTATGATAGCCAATCGGCGTCTTTCAATCTGTTTTATTTATAGTTTATTTTATGACTGTCAGTAGCGCAGACTGTAAATGTCGAAATAAAAAATTAATTCTAATACGCTTAAGCTCGTCTAGACTATATTTAAAAAATTCAGTCCGTACCGCAAACAAAACACAAGACTTCACCATTACAAAGATCATCTGGTTATTGCTGTTTAAGAAAATAATTTCTACTTACAAGAACAACTCATTAGAAATTCATAAATACAAAATTCAGCGTTACAAGTTGTTAAATCAGATGGTACATATAGTTACCGCTGGACTTTAAACGGTTTGTAGATTGGAAAGGATTTTAAAAGAACAGCTGTTACCTAATAAAAGTCCCGGAATTTGCATGGAGGTAGTGAGAAGAAATCCGATAAGCCTCAGCCAAGATAGCTTATCTCCAGACCGAGATTTGAACTCGAGACCTCAGGAATACAAAGCAGAAGTTTCATTTGGCTGAGACATGTTAAACCCAGAACCCACATAAACGGTTCGCCGCGATAGTGCGGTAACTTCTCTTACTCAGTTATAATGCATGTAGTCTAAACAGAGCGCCGTAGGCGATTCAAGCCAACTACAAGACAACTAAATGTGGTGAAATTTAATATGCAAATGCAGTAAGGTGGGAATACTATTCAATCGAAACATATTGGGCACAGGCAAACAAAGATTCTAAATACAGTGGCTCTAGAACAAACACCGTGTCTTACCAAAAATAACCTCGGAACTTCTGATAAGGAAGCGATCAATTAAAACAATTTCACTACTGGCCCTCTGACTTGTAGATACCAACGTATCATAGATACATCCAACATTCATCTTCAGCCCTGAAGACAGAAGCAGAATTTTCCTTCGAAACGGTAGTATCTACCTTTACGTCCACACGACGTTACTACTCCAAAGACTAATACCGACATTTTCACCGCGAGACCTTAAAATCTCGTACAACGAGTACGAAGGCGGTCGTATTCTGGATTTTAGCACCGTGTAGTATAATTGAAGTTTACCGACGTTTCAGATATCCTTGCTGCCTCCATCATCAGGACGATAAAAATCTATACATTTATATATGTATTATACGCTCCTATAAAATATTGGGCAGGTCATTCATGTAAACGGAAAAGGTTTGCGAGTAGTGCCAGAAGATAACCGTGATGAATTGGAAGAGCCCACGTGAAATAGGGAGACATGAGACGTGCGCATGCGTATTAGAAGTGTAAAAGAGGGTATGTGCGTGAAATTAAATTTTGAATTATCTCTATTTGCCTGCAGTTCATACTACTACGACGCCGAGAGTCACAGAACAAACAAAAATGTTTCCGGATAGTCTCATTTGCGCTTTACTCTTTGTGTACTATTAGAAGGACTCGCATAGTCGCTCGCCACTCAGAAAATGTAGTCAGAATTCCACGCGCTGCAATGTCAAATTCCTTTCATACGCTCTCCAAATAACAAAGCTACTCTACATCAGAAAATATTTGTCGCTCGCCATAAAATTTCGCGGTATTGCAACACTTTTTAGGAGCTTAGTTGGAAATTTCTAGGTAGGTATGTTCTGTTTTTATCGTCAAAGAACAAACCGACTGAAGAGGAATTACATAAGATTACATGCACAAAATAAAAATAAATCATTCCATTTTAAAATTAATTTCATTCTTCTTTACATAAAATCGTTCATTCACAGTTTGTGGTCGCCATTTTACAATCACATTTCATTTTTCAACAGATTTGTTGATTTTCGTGGATAGATTTCATAAACAATTTTTCCAGACCAGTTGTAATTAACATGCGCTATACTGCTTGTTATTTTATCAGCATTTGGCTAACCTCAACATGACATAAATACGAAAAAAAATCCTGACTTCTTACACAGTCCGTATGTTCATCATCGTGTTCATAAAAACACGCAAACAGTACAAATCCTGAACCAGAAAAACCAAGTCTGCATCGTCACACTCTATTCTCTGAGATCCATTTTAATATTATAATGTTATCTATGCCTATGACTCCCAGGTGGTCTATTTCCTTCACCATTTCGAACTGTCATGCATGCTACATTACCTGCCGATCATCTTGATTTGATCTCCTTAATATATGGTCAAGAGTACAGATCTGTACTTATGCTATTTCCTCCAGCTTCGTGTTATTATTTTTACCTTGTAAACTTCAAACTTTTATCTCCTCTTGGGGCAAATATTCCCTTCAGAGATGGGGTATTTTTAAATTATTTTTGAATGAGCTTCTGCTGCAGTTCACATGACCTCAGTTGAGAACTGTATGTCAGTTTCTGTGTTCGCCTGTTGTGGTCTAAAATCGTTTTGTCAAAAACTTCGTCAAACCTCGTAGGTTCTGTCGGTACACTAGGCCTATTGCATTACTAGGGACACGAAATACAGTAGAAATGACAAGAGCGCACACTGCAATTAGGAATTACATGATTACAGGAGACAAAGTTCATACGAATTACGTTTAAACCGGTATTCGCTTAGCTGTCCAATCGCAGATTCTACCGACACAAATCTCATGCACACTGACGAATGTGAAATTTAATTTGCAAATAATTTAGGATTTTGTCGTAGTTTCGTGACAATTCTTACACATTTCTGTAGAAATTTTTCAAGTATTTCTAATTTTACCTAAAATATATTTCGTTCAGATAAAATTTAAAAAACATAAATTACATGTGTTACTCTATCGATATTGGCATACTCATCATACGTCATAATATCGATATTTCAATATCGACAAATCAATATTATACTATTATATCAAATTATTAAAAAATTTCCTTAACCAAAGAGTTAATCTTTATAAGGTTTATTTCCAGAGTATATACCAGGGTATCTGCAGTATTAGTGTTAGCTTTCCCAGTCTCACAAGTTCTGACGACTACAATGTTGGTATGAAGTTCATACCAGGTTTCGTTAAAATCTCTCAATTGGTTCTGAAGTTACTGTATATGACAGACTTGGTCACGCGAACAATCCACCTTGTAGGCCAATTGTTTCAAAGCATACTTGAACAATTACAGAACCTCATATCACGTCAGTGCAAGTAAGATCTAAGGTATTTATTATTTTAGCGTTAAGATCGCCTTTGGAATGTCATTTACTCCAAAAAGAACACGTTTGGAGTCTTATAAGCAGGCCTTTATGTTACTAAAATAAGCTATCAAGTGTCACTGTACCCGATCCATAAGAGGAATGGTCAGCTTTGGCAAGCTGAGTTAGAATATCGATTAAACATCATTGCAGGACTGTCGCTGTAAAGAATCTCTAACATTTCTGGTTTCAATGACCGGTCGTTATTAACCCCTGACGGAAAACTGAGTAACTACGCCCTGAGCTCTCTCTTTTTCTTTTTTTCTCGACTCGTTTGCTTATTGAGTGAATTCGTCCGCTCCCATAAACCCAGATGCTTGATCATTTATTCTCACCACATCTATAACAGCAGACTACATTCGCGTCGTATTTTACAACCTCACAATCACATTTTACCCCATTTCCACGTCGCCAGTGCAATAAGTCCATTCATCTACCGCCCCCTTAAACCAAGACTTTATCCATTCCACCCACGGACATAATCTTTCATCAAACCGGCTGTAGTCCATTCTTTTTCATAGTTGTCATCGTTCTTCTTTTCTCTTCAGTCATAACCTACGGTAATTCTTTATGGACGCATTTCACGAAAAATTCTCTTCCAGGTATCTTTATGGACGCATTTCACGAAAAATTCTACACGCAGCGAAATTCTCTTCCAGGTATTTACCTAGCGGAATTTAACCCGTCACTCAGCATTAAAAATCTCTGCAATAAATATTTCTGAGTGAGATTTTAGGTTCTCAGGGCAGCGATTATAAATACTGCAACATTACTACATTTATAATTTTATTCTGTAAATTACAGTAACCTGCATTTACATATATGCCCTTTTTATGACATATTTCACTGTTAAACAAATTCAAAATTTCAGTCATCAAAATATAAAACTTTTACCACATTAAAAACCTAATTTAATATATTACCAGCGTATCACGCACCACATTTTAAATACCACACATGTAAATAAAACTTCATACCATAAAAATTTCACTTAGCATATTACTTGTATTCACACATTCCATGTTTTCTGCCCCTTTTACAATTGTATTAATTTACACAAATCACCATATAACAGCCAGCTTACCACACCAATCTCAATTTAGTATATTATCACAATATTCATACGTCATCTGCTACCAGTCTACCTCCTTCATCGTGTCTTTACATTCATTAATTTTTATAAAACATAATATAATTATATCAGACTAAAAACGTAATTCTATTTTAACACTTGAATGTTAGACCATCAAATACATAAAACTTTTTATTACCTAAACTTTTAATCCGTTTATAGTCCTTTACGTTTCAGCCCTCATAGGTCGTCTTTAGTGTGTCCTTTTATAATTTTACTACAACGAGATGGAACATAAAATGAACTTCAATATAATTTCAACGGCATGTTCCACGCATCCTTCATTTTCTAGTGGTTTTGGCATTTACGAAATGTTTCAGCATTATTTCTATCCTATCAATATATAACAAAATCTCATGTTAAATATTGTATTACGAGTTAATTCTATCATGCCTCGATTACTAGCATATCGCGAATGTGACACGTATTCACCAATTATATAGACGTAGAAATATTTGGTCCGAACTGATGTTAAGAACCTGTCGTAGTATGCGATTTTCTCGTTATGGACATGAGGATTAGTCGCAAGTTACTTCGCGATGATATATCACCTGCACAGAATATTTAGCGTCCAATATGAATGGATAATCACGCGCTAAGTAATCTCGGTTGCCCTATATGTAAATGTATTTATGCCAACCTGATTCTCTGTTGGCGCTTAAAGCTTAGTGTTCTAAATTACATTGTATATATATATATATATATAACAAAATACGATTTATGATTGTGTACCATTCACAGCTGACAAAGTTTTCAATAATGACGCTAGACGACACAGCGTTCTATTTTAGAAGTACTATTACCATTACTTGTGTTGGGCAAGGCCGTGGTCTAGGCAACACGGAGTTTTCCTCCGTGGCATCCCAACAATTACTCCATTCACACACAGAAGAAGGCAATGGCAAACCACTTCTGGATCATCTGCCAAGGACGTATATGAACAGGTCTCAGTCCGAGAAAAGGATGGAAGGATCCTGTTCATATGGACCTGTCGTCAGACAGAACACTAAGTAATAGTAAATTACCATAGGCAGCTTCAATAATTTCCTATAAAGGGCACGGAGTAACAGAATAAGAAATGGAATAAATAAAATGTGAAAGAAATGCAGAAATAGAATAACTTGAACTTCAACGAGAGTTTCACAGTAGTTACAATATAATTCACGCAAAAACAAGTTAAAGGATTTTCTTTCGAAGCTCTATCGACATTTTAATTGTGTAAAACACAATGTAGATGTATCTGTCCGCTGAGTGAAAGCCTTCTCTATTTCCAGCCACTACCAGAAAATCTGGTTCTGTATCCTGTGATCAAGGAAACGGATGGAGAAAGGGAAACCTCTTACCTGGGTCTCAAAATGGTCATAAAACCTCACCACTTTCCTCATGGCCGTCTCAAAATCCGATGTTCTGCGTCTATCCACGATATATACTACCAGAGTACGGAAAAAAGCGTTGAAGAAGAACGACCCCGCGGGTTGCTGCATGGCACAGGGGCAGGAATCCACTACGTACACACCCCACAGAGCCCCGCGACAGACCTTCCACCGTCAGGTCAAAGGTTCGAGCCCGATACCACCATTCCCCAGGGTAAGTTTCATGATTAAAGTTTGTTTGTGGGTTTAGACGTGCGTCAAATTCTATGGTAGTTATTTTATCTCGTGACTACAGACCAAAGGATATCACGTGAAAAATCTAGTACAATCACCGTAATTTATAATTATGAAAATAATTTAAAATTTCATGTACCTGTTAATAATTATTACGGTCAAAATCAGAACTCTACGCTCTCACGAATTGCATGAGCGTTATTAGACTTTTAACTCAGTCTCTGACTACAGATTGCTTGTGGGAGCAAAGGATTTCTCGTCCAGACCGGCTCTCGGACCCACCAAGCCTAATGTTCAATGGACTTTGACTGTGCGTCCTTTCCCCAGGGATAAAACGCGGCCGTGGCATGTATCAGGACAGAACATTAATTAACCCTTTGAAGCCCAAATGCGTCTACATAATATTTAATGATTCAGTCCGAACCGCAAAGAAAACACAACGCTTCACCATTACAAAGATCAACTGGTTAACGCTGTTTAAGGATGTAATCGCTCTTTGCAGTGAGAATCATATGCAACCCATAATTAGAGAATGAGAAGTTGGAAGAACGTAAATAGTACATGTTCAGTACAAGCCAGTGGAATCAGATTTCACGTCCCTGTTTGGAACACATTAATAATCAAAGTACGGCTAAACTTGAGAATTAAGACTGACCACGTTGCAAACAAGCAGGGAAATTTTCGAACCAGCAACATCGCACTCTAAAGGAATTAATAAATCAGTGACCACTTAACCAATGAAGAGCATTCTTGTATAAGACCCTCAGGCTAATGAGAGGTTGAGAGTAAATTCGTTCACATGATAATGTAGAAATATTCAGGGCTCTGTATGGTATCAATTGGACGAATTAATTTCAATGTTTGTGTGTTTCTATCTTTAGAAAATTACACCTAATAAAATGGGTGATTTTTAAATAAAATAAAATCGACGCGAACTAACAATATTTCGATACTTATAACTCGCCCCATAGGATAAAATCCTTGATAAGTTTGCAATCTCCCAGATAGTCAAAAAATTATTCATCTTTAGCAGAACACCCGATATTTCTTTAACGTTTACACACGATTGGTACTTAACGTGAGTTTGATGAACGCAGTCAATATCTTCACAGACAATTCAATTAACATTCATTTTAATATTATTTCCCATCTAATACTAGGCCCTTCTTATGATCTCTTTAGTTCACATTTTTAAGCCAAACGTTTATATATATTTCTTATACCCCCCATGCATAATAAATATCCCACTCATTTAATTCTTGGCCTAATTACCATATTATTATATTTGGCGCAGAGTAAAAATGACGAAATTCATAATAGTGTATTTATCTACATATACGTACAATTCATATCTTGCACTTAAATGTTTCTTTCAGGATTTCTTTTCCAAAAATCTTTAGCTTGTGCTTCTTCAAATATCAGCTTGGGTCCGTCCGTCCGTCCGTCCGTCCTGACAAATTTATATTTGTTTTCCTCCAATAAATTACAAAAAAAAATACAAATTAACTAGTCGATGATTAAGATGGTAAAGTTGCGTCATATTGTGATATAATAAGTATATATTAAATCTTGTCCACCTGAGGATGGTTCTTTTAGGAACTGAAACATGTCGTGAAACATGGAAAATGATGGTCTAATGTAAATCGAATATTTCGATAAAGAACATCATTTAATATTTTAAATATTTTAAATATTAATTATTGTAATATTTTAATAATATTTAATAAGAATTATTGTGATTAGACGGACAAGATTTAATATATAGTCGATGATTGTTTTCTTCGACATTCCTCTCAATTCGCTGTATCCTATCATGATCATCACACCTTATTCGTACTGCACAGCATCAACAGTTGATACATCATCGTAAATAATGGTATAACTGGCCCTTCAGATCATCACACCTTATTCGTACTGCACAACCTCAACAGTTGATACATCATCGTAAATATTGGTATAACTGGCCCGTCCATCAATTAATCTCACTGGAAAACTTCTGCTATGTGCTTACTCCATCATAAATAAATTATCTCTAAGACACATCACAGTATTTATCCTCAAGTTGGCTTCACGCTCCGTCAAATTCAACCTCACTTACGTCTTTTACTAATATGATTCCAGAAGACGTACCAGCGTCTGGCGGCTGCAGGGTCGCGATAGCAACGATGCAAGCTGTCGTTTCTTCCTCACCATTGGCTCTCATGATGCTTTTGTTCACCGTCAGATGAACCCAAAAACAAGTCCACCCCCACAACAGACCATCGTAATAGCATCGTAAGTCAAGACGGAGAACAACTTCCGAGAAAGAGGAGAGAGATTCGCTGTAAGAGTAATTCAATAAATAACTCGATACTCAGGCAATTTGCCTCGCCGCTGACATCCTCAACCTTTTCATTCTCAAGAAATATATTTATGTGTAACATATAAGAGCGTATAGCTTTACTGTATATGACGTAACGAAGTGTTTTGCCGAGTCATCTTATGTCTCAAATAAAAAGCGAGCAGACAAATATAATAAATTAATAATCCCCGTGTCAGAGACCGAAATAGTGCATTAAGTGCGGACATGTCTCAATTTATATTTAAAGCAATGGGGTAGGTGCCTATGGAAGAGTTCGTGAGTCAGGATAGGACTTAAAATAAAAGTCGGTAGAAGGATATGAAGAAGTGTTTGTTCCCAACTCCGTCTTCTGTCTCTTCATATGCGACGTTAAATAAGTGATGAATCTTATTAACCCCTCCGTAGCATCCCTTATAATAATGCGAAGATAGAAAACTTATCGGTCGTGAAGAATAGCAGGTTTAAACATTTCTGTGATGCAATTTTTTTTAGAACTAACAACTCCATTGAGCAGAGTCCTTGAAAAGCTGATAGCCGCTTAGCTGATCCAAAATTTCCCTAATTCTAATTTCGTCACTTTGTTCATTTCAATACGTTCTGGAAAATCTGAGTGAAGAATTTCAGGAAGGCTAAAACATTTCATCAGAAATAAAACACGTATTGCTGGAATTATATATTTTTTTTTGTATTTTTATAGATGTAACTCATTTAAGATAGTTATAATTACGACGTTTATAGGAACAAAATTACATCTCCCGATGCATAAAGTAATACCGAACGAATGTGTTTCTGTGTTGCTGTAACGCTCTGAAATTACACTCGGCAATAAAACGTTGACTTTTTAACTTAACTGAATCTCTACGGAAGAAATTAAAACTGCTTATCAAAGGCGAAAGTGTAAATCGCAGTCATAATGCATGCTGTAGTATGTATGTATATAATCATCCCCTTTAAAGCCGAAACTCATTTAAATAATATTTAAGAATTAAGGTCGTACCGCGAAGAAAACACAACTCTTTACCATTACGAAGATCAATTGGTTAATGCTGTTTAATAAAATGACCACCGTTTACAGTGAAAATTATACAAAAATCCATAATACAAAATGCAGACCTACTAATCGCTGACGCAGTAGGGACGTATAATTATCACTGGATTTTTAAGGGTTAAATGTTTTTGTTTTTTTAATTCACGACTTGACACAGTAATATATTTACGATGGTTTTAGGGTAGTATGGATAAATTACGAAGGATCCAGAGACAATGGAAACTTTAGTTAACAGAGAAAAATTAAGATATTCAGCACAGAACGAAATTCTGTCAATGGTGAACAATCAGTTTTAACAATTCTGCTCGTGTTACTTACACAAGATCTTTTAAGTTTTAAATGTGATGTATCGATATGAAAGACATATAACAATTTGTGTTAATTCATTCAAGGGATGTACGTAATATGTTATATAATTAGTTATTGTCTATGTACACAAATAATCTACCAGAAGCGAAAACAGTGAATTTTTAAACGACAAGCGCGGCTGGGACCGAGATTAAGTTGGTGCTATACGACCTCTCCCCTCAAGCGCCTACATGGCGTATAGTGGGATAACTTTACTTTCATTTTATTGTTAGGGGGGAGAGGCGAGTTGTAGAAAGGTGTTTGCCGAGGGTCATTAATACATTTCAAGGTCATATGAAATACTGTGAGCGACAAGACAGAACCTCGATGTATATTTGGCACTACAATAACTTACGTTGTTCTAAATACACGCTTTAATGCATTTTAAGGCATTTGGGATAAAGAAGTCAGATTAGATAAAATACACACATACACCTGTGTTAAGTGCACAGACGAACGAGACTGTCATATAAGAATCACCGACCGCTAACTTTCTCGTCTCGTAACCTGAGAAATATTAAAAAGAAATTTCTAGTCATCTCCAGACAATTTTCTGCTTTAGTTGGCTCATTGATACAATAACTTAATGTCCCTATTCCAACATAAAATATATAAAAAAAGTATTTCCTTCAAATTGAGTGACCCTAATTCCTTTGGCCAGTAAAGCCGCATTCCTTGGAGTCCTGTGCAAAGATTGCCGAGAAAGTGGAATTTATTCCTTGTTGTAAATGTTGTCAGTTTATTATAAACATATGTGTGCGTATAAATTAATAAATACTTGCTCATGAAGATCACATGTGTTACCGTCTAAATATATTGTAATATTAATGCTTATGTCCTTGAGTAGACTGAAGAGGGTGTTTGAAGTTGGGTTAAGATATGTGATGCAGAATCGAATTTGTTTTTTAAACTGTTAAAATAGTGATATATAGGCCTAATTATTGGTGGCTGAACTGATTTAAGTTACACTAAAGCGAATTTTACAAATTTTAAATCTCTAAATACAAAGTTTCTCACGTGAAAATAATTAAAAATTTACTATTGTTTAATTTATATTTATTATAGTTTTGGATATGGAAAATCTTTGGCACTGTGTAACAATGACGTCGACTTACTGGTATAAATTTTATTTCCAGTCGTTTCGATGTTTAGGTACAAACACCGAAATTTTTCAGGGTGTGTGATCTCAACAACACTCACAAAACTTTCGTTATTATTCGTGGTAAAGATGATGACGTTTGATGTAGTAAAAGAGCGAAGAATTTATTAAGACAAGCGATATTTTTGTGTGACATACTTTCTTCCTGTGTGGTAAACTGTACATTGAAATCAAATAAAATGTCATATTTTATACATTAAAATTCTTCAATGCTTTTATTCTCTTGTGTTATAGTGCTATTGTTTACCATGATCCATCACGACACATTCTGGGGGGAGGGGGAGAATTTTATTCCAAAGAAATTTTCAAAAAAAAATATAAATTTTTGTTTGACCTTTTGACAGAGACAGAGAGAGAAAGTAGGGTCGTAGCGACCGACACTACATTCAACCGAGGGGGGGATAAATTTACTTCTACGAAGGTTCCCAGGCAATGACCACTCGTCCTTCTGGTAACGGTAGGTTTTATGAAGGTAAGGCGTTTATAAGTTGAGAAATTAAATGAATTAAAAGTGGAAAAAGGAGAAACGTTGAGCAGCAGACCTGCTTAAAGTCTGAATGTTTGTTCTTTCAACGTATTTTCCCATCCCACGTTACTGTACGCGAAATTTATATAAATTTTAATTTATTGATGTTCATTTAAGAGGTGAATAGAACATTCAGTATTTACAGCATAAGATCGTGCTTAGCATAACAAGCAAAAGCTCAGTGTGCATCTTTGCAGTTCTCTGTCTACCTGTTTATGAAACTCTACATCCATAACCGTGGGATCATACATCAATTCCTGACACTAACAGCTGGCTTCTGTGGCATGGATCGAGTGTAGGTCACGGTCTGTGGAAGCAAATATATGTAAACCACAAATTTTGGACCCTACACAGGTGTTCCACTTAAAACATAACACTAACTACTGCAGATAAACCCCTTCAAGCAGTTGCTCAGCTACTCAAAAAAACTTCTAGCCTTTTTTTTCGGACCGCCAAAATTCTTTATCGTGTTCACAACAGTCCATATAAATGAATATTAACTTATTTAAATGAACCAAGCAAGTTCGTATAGCACCAAGAATAAAATTTTGCATTTGTATTCGGGTGAGGGGGGAGGAGTGCCCGTTTCGATTTACAATATCGAACATCGAATATTCTGATTAATGTTGAGAGTGGTTTCCCTCAGTCACTCTAGGCGAATGATGATATATTACGTTTTTTTATCATGTCTGTTCTGCTGGAATATAAATGGCGAAGGGCGAAAATGTGCAAGAACGAACGAGAAGTGTTACAATCCGTCATTTTAAACTTCCGAACTTTCATTTTATCGATATATCCTGCCATACGATTACTAACGACCACAACGCCCCCTTCACAAGTCGTCAGTACTACATTCTGATGCAACGATATTCTACTGCAAAAGAAATATGAATAATAAACTATGTTCAGAAACACATACGATTTCTCATGTAGCCTTGATATAAAATAGACATATAAACCTTCCCTTCATTTTCACAAAATATTTTCATAAACATTCAAAAGCCTTTACTTTCAACCTCTGAAAAATTCAATTAAATCGCATTCTCTCTAGAAGTCCGTGACTTCGTTATTTGAATGTGGGTATATGAAATTCTATTTTTATTAAATTATAATTGCATTGACTACCATCGTCAGTGAATGAATGATGAAGGTCGATTCTTCGATTTTATAAAACTCGTAGACAGATCAGTTATTGTCAGTCACAGACTGACGCATTGGCACAAAATATGTAGTTGTTCGTGGCTCGGTAGAAACTAACTTCACCTTTCGAAATGTATTATTTTTTTAAATTAAATTATCCCCGTGGCAGTAATGTTTCGTAGACGTTGCTAAGAGGAACACAGCAGTCCATCTAATACATCTGCCTTATTTTTTTATTATTTTTTTCCTCTCAGTGTCATATACAATCATTGCTGTTTATAAACGTAACTGAAACGCGAGCTAGGAACAGAAAGTTAAAAGTTTGACTTCAGGGTAAATGATAAAAATCTTTAAAGGAGAGGGTTTGTAAACTTCACTTAAAATATTTTTTTACAAACGAAATTATTTCGTTCAATTATCGAGTTATTGTATCACCGTAACTAGTACGTTAAAACAGTTTCGGCTGCAAGATCAACTCATAAGTTGTTTTTCGCTTACGCCAAGCATAAAAAACACCAAAGACTCGTACAATTTTCAGAATTTTGAAAAATCTATTGATACTCGCTGCATTCATAATGCAACAAAATATAAATTAGTTAATTTGTTTCAAAATATTTTCCTCTAACAGACACTTTTTCACTCTATCGATTGATCAAATAGAAAAATTGTATCGATAAAATGCACGTAACAATTAACAACTCTATTAATAAACAAATTAGTCTTGTCTTCCATCTTGTCAGATTACTGTATAACTTCACATTATACTTTTTTCAGCTACTCGATAAAAACTTACCTGATCTGTAGACCTTCACGTACTGAAACGACAGTCGCAAACACACTATATAGTCTTTCTTCTGGACCCACACCATATTTTGGCCTTTTAGGTTAGTTGTGTACCTTGAACCAATCACATAATAAATCTTGGAATTTGAATGCTCACAGACCGACACCAGGCCAAGTCAATACAAACGCAACATCTTACTTCCTTGCAGTCTTAATTCTAGTTATTGGCAAGTTCTCAGTGGTAACTTAGTATCACAGACGTGAAATATTACTTTCTTTCATCTGTGATTTGAAGTAGGTATTTCCGTTTATTTGACGACGTATTCAACTTTTTCAAGCACATGGCCTGTATAAAAATGTCGGCATCGTTTATATTTCTACCCACAAGAACAGCTGCTCCTGATCCTAACCTCTCTTGAAAATTACTTTATTAGAATTTATTTTATAACCTACATTATTATAAATCTCCCCAAAAGAACATTATCATAATAAACAAATTCTTGATTTTTGTCATTCAAATACAGCTGTTCCTGGTCCTAACCTCTGAAAAACTACTACCTCATTTTGCATGTGCACCTCTAATTGGCATGCGAGTAAAACAGGTTATGAAATATAAAACTACTCAGTGCATTTTTGCAACTTTTGTTTGTGAATTTGCCAAAAGAAAAGGACTCTTTTATCTTCAGCACCCAGATGTTGTGTAGCCGTGTTGGACTTACCTCACTCCAAGCACTGCACCACTTACGAACTTAAATTCACGATGAGACCAAGCTGGAATGACAAAATTCTCTCCTTACAAAACACTTTCTTAAAATCACTGTAACATTCAATATGGTATTACATATCCAGGAAGTTATATTATGTATTAACATAACAAAGATCCTTCTGAATTCAGGTTCATCACTGAACACTTCATGACAAAGAACCTACTTTTATTCAAGTAAAACATTATTTCTGGACCATTTTCTTACCTTAAGAATAGTATTAGATCTTTCCTGAGCTACAGAGCAGTGAAATAATATATAATAAAAAAATTATGCATTTTATTAAACATGGGCATAGGATAATCTTTTCAGGTATATTGGTGGTATCTGCTGAAGTCAAAGGAAATATAGTCTGACAACCTCTATCCAAATCACATTACATATGATCAACAAACAGGTTATCACTGACTACATTTATTGTAAAATCGCTTCAAGACTTGAGCTATACCAACTGAAACAAAACAATTACAGAGTACATGGCAAAAATACATCAGAAATAGATTACAAGAATATGAGATACAGTTTTTCAGTAAACAATTTATTAACATTTAATCAGTGAAGTTCCAGTGCCTTGCCATGCCTCAGAGATTTTTCTCATGTTACCTTTAACCACTGGACACTATATTAAACTCTCACTTACAGGTAAACATTAGCCCACAGAGATGTTAAAAAGGTTAATCCACTGACTCACTTATAAGTTTTACACAGAGCCAAGTCTTTATCTGCTGAGAAATAAGACCAATGGCTAACTTCCAAATTAAAGTTTGTTCCAGTTTCTAAGCTTATAAATTTATAACCTTGCATACACTTCAAGTAGCAATAAACACCAAGAGTGCATAAATAATGCATGTTAAAAGAATCATGATAATCAGCTAAATATATTGCACATATTTTCAATATTGTATGATTTCAATAAAATTATTCTTAAAACAGAAAATGTAGAAGGAAGGAAACATTGATTTAATTAAAAGCACTCAATGGAATTGAATTGCAAGCCACCTCAAATTTAGAACCAACTTGTTAAAAAGTTAGGTTAGTTTTACTTTTATAGTCAGTCATCAGACCTTACTTATACATAATACACATATACTGGGAAGTGTGCCTCATATGTAACTTAACATATAATAATTACATAAAATGATAAAATATAAAAATATATATATACAATTATAAACTCAAAGTGCATTTAGTTAATCTTATATATTCAAATTACCGTTGTGGCAGTAACTTAAAATGTAATATATGCTAATATGCTAAGTAACAGAAAAGGCACACTTCCAAACATATATCTGTTATGCACAAACTAAGGTATGGTAATGCTTAAATATGTAACCTCTGACACTGATCTTTTATATTTTATATTATGACAAAAGAAAACCTATCTCAAATTCACAAGCTTATTGCCCTAGTACATGAAACCAAAACCACTTTTTAGGTTATTTTTCTTCACCAGATTCTAACTCAGTCTTACAGAGTCTAACAACTTAAAATCAGGTGGATGAGATGGGTGGGTAATCTAGCACGTATGGGAGAGAAATGTGTACATAACATTTTAATTGGAAATTGTGAAGGGATGAGATAACTTAGGTGACACATACAGACAATATTAAAATGGATTTTGTAGAAATATGGCAATAATGCTCAAAATATGATCCAGAGGCAAATTCTTGAAAATATTGTAATGAACCCTTGGGTTCCACAAAAGGAAACAAATTTATTAAACTGTGCAACTATGAGCTTCTGAAGAACTGCTTCATGAAGTTTGTAATTTGGTTTATACTGTGAAGTTTAGTGTCACCAATTACATATAAAATAAAGATACCAATTTGTGTTAATTACCAGCAGGATTGAATCAACGAGTCTTGGCGGAACTGTCAAAGCAACGGTACTCACTTCCTAAGCAGCCAGTCTGTTCAAAATTATTATCCTATTTAATCAAACTGCATGCACATGAACACACAAACAAAAAAAAACTGAAAGAAATAAAAAATGCATCACCTCTGCCAATAAAACCTTGCTGTCTACCAACATTACACATACGCCTCAAACTACAATGAAATACTGTTACTTCTGTCTGTATAGTTTACAGTACAATGTAGTAATAAGTCAATCGTAACGATAAAATACTATTTCAGCAGAGAACATACGTCATTTGCGGATGTTACGAATGAAAATTACCTGCACCATCAGCAGTTTCTGCTATCAACGCAGAAAATAAACGTGTGTATGGGATCATCACAGTCCTTTGCATCTTCTTCCTTAAATAAAAACTTTCTACACGTTTACTACTTACTCACCAGTAACAATACTTTATAAGTCTTCAAAAGTACACCATATAGAATGTAAATTTAACAATTATGGAGGATGACCGTTCTGCAATGTTACACCACGTCATCTGGTAGATACTGGCATTTCATAGGAGCTCACTGCCTCAGAATAATTCACTTGATGATGGAGGCGGTAAGATCCTCTGAAACCTGGTCAATATCTACAGACTACAAAGTGCAACATCCCAGAAGATATTTATAATTAAACCTGAAATAGCGACAAGATTATGGACTTCAATCTAAATCAATTTTCAAAACATTTATACTATTAATATGTTAGGAGAATACTACGCAAAGCCTACATCATCGTTCAAGGAGAAAATGTAAGAAATGAACCTTCATCATACATGTATATAGGATTTAAATTCCCTGTATGATCGGCTGCCAATTAGTCTTTAACTCTAAGATTCAACAGCTTAGTGCAGTGGTCCCCAACACAGTGCCCGCGGGCACCAAGGCTTTTTTTGGGTGCCCACGTTGTTACGGAAAGAGGTTATACTGAATAATGAAGGCCGTTCGACCATGAACATTATAAAATCGAAGCACAGATCTCTACTTATTAATGCCCATCTTGACGATTGTTTGCGAGCAGCATCATCATCCTACACTCCCAAATTTGAAAAACTGGGCGATGAAATGCAGCGCCAAACATCACACTAACTTCCCACTTGAGTGATAATAATTGTATTTGTAAAACTACGTATTTTTGATTGCGCGGTTTCTTGTATCATTAAACGTCGTGTTGTTTTGCGTATTATTTGGTGTCCATATCTTATTTGTCCAGAGAAAAGAAAATTTGGCTTTGTTAATTGGTTGGTGCCCGCCACAATCTCATAAACTCTCAAATGTGCCCGTAGGCACAAAAATGTTGGGGACCACTGGCTTAGTGGTATGCTTCTTCAATTAAAAAAACCCAGAAAATCATGACACACAGCCAGTAACAGTTAAATGTATACACATTTGTGTTCACACATCAATAGATTTTTAATCTACGAGGTGTAGAACAAGTATTTTCCTTCATAAAAAAATTAATTCAACTGAAATAAATTACAATTTCTTTTGACTCATTATGATTTGTGATTTACAGTCCCTTAAACAGAGGGATACACAAACATTTGACTGAAGCATTCACATGAACAACAGAAATTAATACTAGCGACGTACTGTGTTACAGGTAGGCAAACAAAAAATATATTCAGTTGCCCAGTCTTAAATCTTAATGCCAAAACGCAACCAAATGTAGTGGAGGTCAACTTCCCACTACAGACAAGAAACACGCCCATGCACATGGACTTATGATATTGAAAATTAACTTGCGACAAATGTCCAAGTTACACGTTTCTTCTTTAAAATCACTGCAACTTGGAAACTTCAAACTTTGTTGTCATTATTTCCTAAAATAAAGAAAGATAATATTAAAATTATATACAAATCGAAAGTGAACAACAGAAAACGAGACACAGGCTGTGGATGCTAAATAAGACTGATTATAATCTAGCCTAACCTTTTCCTGCAGATACAACTCTTGAATGTAAAACTACAAAATTTCTAAATGGAAAAAAATTCTTAGATCACTATGTAGTCAATGAAATTCGGAAATACCAGATTGTAAGTTAACTTCTTTAAAATTAAAATTTCATAAGTGTAAGCAAATTCATTGTGCAGTTTCCAACATGAAAAGTACATTTTATAAAATGTATAAATTTTGTGGGTTCATCTTAGCGTGTGAAATGCGCATCTAAAAGGAACAGATATTTTAAGTCTTTTTGGTAGCAAATGAAAAAATTTACTGGCACAAACTACTGTCAAGGTGCAATAGTTGTTTCAGTGACTATTTCAGTTTGGCACTGCACCACACAGTCAAAAATTTAAGTTTTCCGAACACAAACATAATCAAAATAACTTTCTAGTAGAAACAAATATTTTTATAAAATTGGTTACTATTATAATCTTTTGGCTAGGTATCATACATACCTCGTCAGAATCCATGGTTGTTAGAGCACTGAAATAACATAAAATATAGTTCAAATTAATATTACATCCTTGTCATGAAATATTTTATAAGCTAACAACATAATAAATAATAATAATCCGTGGCGTAACAGCCCTCCGAGAGCCAAAGCCGACTAGCTGGCTGCTGGCCTCACGTTCACATGCCTAAAACGAGCATCCAACCAGATATAGGGTGATGTGTGGTCAGCACGACGAAACCCCAGCCATTGCTATTTTCCACAACCGGATTACGCTACTCATTGTAGCTCCCCGATTTCCTCACGATGCTGGGTTGGCACCGGTCCCATACACTGGTCGAGAATCTCATGAGAAATTTCTTTCCCCGAGACTCGAACCAGCGTGCATTCCATATCGCCGGTCCAAAGCATGATGCCTCAGACCGCGCGGCTAACAACATAATGGAAGGTAAAAATAAGGTAGGAAGTTACAAAAGATCTCATATTCAAGAATCAAATCAGTGATTCAACGGCACCGAAGGTCACAATCTGTCATTTGCTACGACGATAATACATTGTGTCGATAACAAAACTTTAGAGTGTTAAGAAATATTTGGACCTAAGAATAATGGAGAAGGAACTTAATTTATAAAAGTCATTGCTGCGACATCAAGAAAATTGCAATGGGCTGGGCTTGTGGCTGGAAATGGAAAAACAAAAATACACACAGGATTTTTAGTTGAAAAGTGCTCAAACTACCCACACTTACCAGAAACGTTTCCAGTTATCTCAAAATACTAAAGTAAATAATTACACGTGTAACTAAACAAGAAACGAATTTAAACACGACGTCATTAGCTACTGCTAAGTTAGTTACGGTACTTACGTATCAGCTAACGAGGAAGGGATGTTCTCTTCAACCCACTTTAGATCATCTTCCTGGAACATAATTATCCAAAAAATGACAACATATAAATAAAAAGAGTAATTTTAAAGGAAAAGTTAAAATATTTGGGAACAACAATATCAAATCAAAATGATACTCATGAGGAACTTAGGTGGAGACTAAATTTGCGGAAATGCTTGCTACTTCTCAGTTCAAAATATTTTGTCTTCCAGTCTGATTTCAAAGAACCTGAAAATTAAAGTATACAAAACAATAATTTTGCCTGTTGTTTTTTATGGGTGCGAAACATGGTCTCTCACTCGAGAGAGGAACATAGATTGCAGGTGTTTGAGAACAGGGTGTTGAGGAGGATATTTGGGCCTAAGAGGGAAGACGATGGGGCGTGGAGAAAACTGCATAATGATGAACTTAAAAATCTGTACCCCTCCCCAAATATTGTCAGGGTGATTGAGATGGGCAGGGCATGTAGCGTGCATGGATGGGACAAGAGGTTTGCACCAGTTATGAGGGGAAGAGACCGCTGGGGAGACCTAGATGAAGATGGGAGGATAATGTCAGGTGGGATCTATGGGAGATAGTAGTTCAAGGAGAATGGATTTTGTTGGCCCAGGACAGGAGTTCAAGGAGAATGGATTTTGTTGGCCCAAGACAGGGTCCGGTGGAGGGCTTTGGTTAATTCGGTGATGAACCTTCGGGTTCGGTAAGCCATCTAGTTAGTTAGTTAATTTTAAAGGACATAAGAAAATATGGAATTTAATTTTGAAATGCCAAGCAGCAGTTCCGAATCTGTGCAAACTGAGTGCCTGTCTGTAGCATCAGCCGTGAGAAATAATCGTTGTTTTCACTGCCTCAATATTGCAGTTACCAACAGGAGAAACATAAAATAGAATAATTGGGCTCAGTGATTTTCACATATATTTCAAGGATTGAATATAATGTACGTGCTTTGCAACATCATTACCAGTTTTTCAAAGAAGGAATACAGGTTCCAATCAGAAGCGAAAGAGGCATTTGTGGAAGCCGCAGGAAAATGGCAGCAAAATTGTACAATGAGAGGAAAAACTGCGTAGCAGAAGAAAATCACTTCGACGAGAGCATGTAATAAAACTGTCATTATAATGGTAAAAATAAGCTCATCAACATTTTTACTCTAACAAAAATATAAGCCAAATGCAACTCTGTTTGTCAACTATGAACAGCGGCCTTCCTTCCTGACCAAAGACGCGTTTTAAACCTTGAATAAATCGGTTATCCACTTTTTCCTCGAACTCACCATGTTGTTAGTGGACTTTGGTTTTGGTGACGTACTCCTGTATCCCCTCATCTTGACACCTGTGAACAGACCAGACTTAGAATAAACATGCTTAAGAAAAGTGAATTATGTAATAAAATGTGGAATTTTAATTTAAACTTTCAGGTTCAGAGTTTGCATATTTTATTTTATTTTTATTTTTTTCCACTTCCGTACAGTCGCTCACCATACGCGTCATTAACGAACTGCTCCTCTTCTTCGTCATCGTCATCATCCGCAGCGTCCAGAAGTGGCGTGAAAGCGTACCTCTGATTGTTATTCGTCGGCCTCCACAAAATCATAATGACCAATAGCAGCACAGAGAACAAGAGATGCCAATATGCTTCATCCACCCACAGTTCCTTCCAGTCCTACAGAAAAATGAAACGTTCAAAACTGAGGCATTCCTCAGATAATGTTACTGATTTTCCTAAATGTATCACATACAACATTAGATAAAAAATTATTAGTTACTCACTGTGAGACATGTAGCAAAGCGATGATACTTTATTGAATAGAGCATAAAGATAACCGAAGAGATCACTGAAAATATGAGGGTGTTTGTGAAATGCCTGTACAGTGATAGCTTCACCAAATTTCTGAAAAACATAAACAAACTTACTTTTATATGCCTGAGATTATTCAAATATTATAAGAATTCTAGGATGTATACAGAGTCAGTCAGGAGTATGTTTACAAACTTTGTGTGCGTGTTCCAGGATCACAAATAAGAAAAAAAATATTCCTATGAACTTGGGGTTGCAAATGTTTCATTTTTGAAATAATACCCAAATAGTCAGATTTCAAAAACAGGACGTTTAAAATGGTGACCTTGGATTCAAGAGATGTTTGTGATTTAATGATCATTTTTACCTGCGTAATCTAAGGGTCCTTGTGGTTTGCACAAGACTAGTGAAGATCCACCAGCAAATAGCAGAATCCAGTACAGCCAGAGGAATACTGGCTATTAGCGTCTGATTTGAAGGATCATTCTTTGGATGCATCACACGAAGATAACTCTCGATCGCTGCCAGTGTGAAGTAAAGAACACCCGTACCCACAACTCGATGTAGCATCGGACCAAGACGAGGTCTAGGTATCGGCAAAAATTACAAATAACAGAAGAACAAATATGCACATCTACATCTTAAAATAAACCTTCATAAATTCCTAGACAATACGTCATTGAACAAAAAATATTCGTATGCACAATCTGAAGACTCGCCTGAAAAGTTGTTAGATTTGAGATATACTGGGGTTACTGGGAACGACCCGTTCTTCAAGTGCCTGAGCACTGCGGGTCCCAACTTTTCGTTGGCTCGATCTATAGACATTCAGTAGGACTCCTTGGACGAGGGATCGGCTCGTCGCAAGGCCTCTACCTGTACACAGGACAGCACGACACAGAAAAACGCGGACAGACATCCATGGCTTGAGTGGGATTCGAACCCATGGTCCCAGTGACCAAGCGGTACAAGGCCCAAGCCTCAGACCGCGCGTCCACTGTGACCGGCTAACAAAGTATCATACCACATGAAACATCCTTCGTTCATGAAACTTACTTGACTATTCCAAAGCCAAGACTGACGATTATCACTAACATTCTAGCTAGTGTCCTCTTGCCACAAGAGACAAGTTCAGCTAGGAACATGGCTCCCTTTACGGACACGCCCGTCAAATTGATGCTCTGGTATTCTGCATAGAATGTTGCCTGAAAATAACAAATATCAAAAGTTGAGAAATATGTCGCAGTTAAGCGTACGAAGGTCATTTCAGCCGACGCTGTATCGAAGCTACGTCACAACAAGATTAATCATAAAAAGAAACATTTCGCATTCCTCGCATGTCGCGAATGGATCCCTCTATTTAATCGGTGCCCGATTATATCTCGGTATACAATTCCAAAAACAAATCAATACTCACTTTTTCCAACATACCAAGAAGAATTACGCCACCAATCCAAAACTGTATTCTTAACAGATCTCGCCACTGGCAAAAAGATACGATGAGCCATGCTAGACCAAATATTACGTACACCAAACACATGGCTCCGTAGAACTGAAATAAATACAAACGCTCTTATTCTTATTTTCAGTAATATATCGTCAAAAGTCATGAAACTGCTAAAAATACACGCCATTTAAAGCATGCGGAGCTCTCGGCCAAGACATCGACACATATTTAAATTCTGAACGAGACTTTATTACATTTTACTGTGTTAAAAGGGCAAGGTCCAGTAAATTTGATTCTGAAAGGGTTAAAAGTCGGTGAAACTTCAGGGGCACATTACTTACGGGTAACAGGGGCCAATCTGCTGCGGATAAGTAGCCGTATCTGCCTTGCATTTTAATGCTAACATTAGCATCAAACTCATTCTTACTGTCAATTGCAAGCTGCAGTAAGTACACACCATCTGCATCAACAGTGTAGAGTGGATGTTCTTGAGTCTAAAGGTCGAAGAAAATACAAACTAGTGTAACAAAATCTTTTAAGATTCCTTTAAATTTGACTGGTACAAAGTACAAACCCATTTCAAAGTTTTTAGAATGAATTTTAAAAACTGCTCGTAAATATTGCGTGAAATTCACATTTTGTTTCTAAGTTTCTATTTTACGATGTCCAACAAAGCTAAAAAAAGGGGAGGGGATCATTCTGAGAATGTTTTGAGGTTGCAAACAGTAATGATTAAAACGCTACAAAATTTACCTTAAATGTACGTCCACACATTCATGTGTAAATATACTGTATATGCATCCTGCGGGTATTCGATTAGAACCACAATGCGTCAAAAGTTTCAAAAATCTTCACAAAACTTTTATTACCCAGTTCCCATTCTCAAATGAACAAAGTATCATACCACATGAAACATCCTTCGTTCATGAAACTTACTTGACTATTCCAAAGCCAAGACTGACGATTATCACTAACATTCTAGCTAGTGTCCTCTTGCCACAAGAGACAAGTTCAGCTAGGAACATGGCTCCCTTTACGGACACGCCCGTCAAATTGATGCTCTGGTATTCTGCATAGAATGTTGCCTGAAAATAACAAATATCAAAAGTTGAGAAATATGTCGCAGTTAAGCGTACGAAGGTCATTTCAGCCGACGCTGTATCGAAGCTACGTCACAACAAGATTAATCATAAAAAGAAACATTTCGCATTCCTCGCATGTCGCGAATGGATCCCTCTATTTAATCGGTGCCCGATTATATCTCGGTATACAATTCCAAAAACAAATCAATACTCACTTTTTCCAACATACCAAGAAGAATTACGCCACCAATCCAAAACTGTATTCTTAACAGATCTCGCCACTGGCAAAAAGATACGATGAGCCATGCTAGACCAAATATTACGTACACCAAACACATGGCTCCGTAGAACTGAAATAAATACAAACGCTCTTATTCTTATTTTCAGTAATATATCGTCAAAAGTCATGAAACTGCTAAAAATACACGCCATTTAAAGCATGCAGAGCTCTCGGCCAAGACATCGACACATATTTAAATTCTGAACGAGACTTTATTACATTTTACTGTGTTAAAAGGGCAAGATCCAGTAAATTTGATTCTGAAAGGGTTAAAAGTCGGTGAAACTTCAGGGGCACATTACTTACGGGTAACAGGGGCCAATCTGCTGCGGATAAGTAGCCGTATCTGCCTTGCATTTTAATGCTAACATTAGCATCAAACTCATTCTTACTGTCAATTGCAAGCTGCAGTAAGTACACACCATCTGCATCAACAGTGTAGAGTGGATGTTCTTGAGTCTAAAGGTCGAAGAAAATACAAACTAGTGTAACAAAATCTTTTAAGATTCCTTTAAATTTGACTGGTACAAAGTACAAACCCATTTCAAAGTTTTTAGAATGAATTTTAAAAACTGCTCGTAAATATTGCGTGAAATTCACATTTTGTTTCTAAGTTTCTATTTTACGATGTCCAACAAAGCTAAAAAAAGGGGAGGGGATCATTCTGAGAATGTTTTGAGGTTGCAAACAGTAATGATTAAAACGCTACAAAATTTACCTTAAATGTACGTCCACACATTCATGTGTAAATATACTGTATATGCATCCTGCGGGTATTCGATTAGAACCACAATGCGTCAAAAGTTTCAAAAATCTTCACAAAACTTTTATTACCCAGTTCCCATTCTCAAATGCAGCCATTAATAATTTTTGTTGCTTTTTATTTTACTTACAAGGTAACCATGATTCTGAATATTTTTCATAGACTGTTTTTTCTCATCTGTGGATTGTGCTTCTTTAGATGATTCACCCTCTATTTGATTTTTCTTGTTTTTACCAGATGAATCCACAATATTTTCATCCTCTGTATCAACAGGAAGAGGTCCTCTTGGTGTCTTTAATTTTGGAATATAATCCTCCTAAAATATTTGTACAGAAAATGTATTAGAATAAAGAAACATAATTAATGGTTTACTCACTAATCCTTGCTTTCCTTTAAGTATTAATTCTGGCTTATATTCACCTGAAGTTCATCAGATTCAAGAGTTTATATTCAAACCAGTAAGCCACAAAAATAATTTCACACATGTAATCAGTAATGTTCTACAAAACATATATTCACATTACAAAACCATTACACTTACCAAAATGATGTGCGAAGAGCAATCACAATGCGATATTACAGGATCCAGGCTCAAAGTTCTATTATCTACACCAGTCAAAATGCCTGAATTCTGAAAATGCCAAGGAAAAAGAATATACATTAATAAATAATAGAATGTGCATCAAGTAATTCATAGCAAAAAATTAATAACTTACTGGTTCACCATCTCCAAAGCGCAAGAAATCCTGCCAGCAACGCAACCATGACAGAGTCCATGTAACAGTGATGTTTCTGTTTGGAGCTGTAGTATTACATGAAACTGTGGGCAATAAATATTTTTAGTGTAATGCAAGCCACAAGTCATGAAGCTACCACAGCAAGATTTATCTGCATTTCAATAGATATAAATTTGTCATGCTTTAATTTGAAATTGACTCTAGGAAGACTGCTATATCACTTTGGTTTTCTTAAATGTAAATTCATCTGCTTTTGCAAAATATATGTTTAGTAATCTGTAAAGGCATTTCAGGTTCATATTAAAGATATTCATTAGGCCTATACATGCATTTATTTAGTCTGCAACATTGGTGTTTTCTTTTGTTATTACACAATCAGAAATCTGTTTAGCCACTATGTATCACTCCACATCAGTACACAATCAAATTAAAGATTTTTTCATCCTAGTTTACTAGTTCAAACTACTTTATTCCTCTAAGCAGATATCCTTTATTGCCAATCTGTGAAGCAATCATCAACAGAATCTTCACAACATTGATAGTGTAAGAACACAAAAGTACAGTTCATTGTTACTGAAAAACTAAAATAACTGCTTACTCTGAATGAAAATCTGAGATCTTCTAAACAGACTCTTTGAAACGGCAATAGCATTTTTTTCCTGAAAAAATAAAACATGTTATACTACAACAAACAGGGAGTGGTTTTCACATAAGGCACTTCGTGCTAGGTTCTATTTAAATCATAAACACAGTAAAAAGACATCTGATAATTCATAACAACAGAATACAAAACAATTAATGACCATCTTTAATTTATATATCTAATTGCATATGAAAGTGCAATTTTCCTGGTCAATATGACACAAGAATACCAAATATATGTATATCCTCAAACTTTATAATTAAATGAAGTACGTTAATTACCCGGCTCAGTACGAAATCCCGCTTCCCCTGATCTGGAAATGCCACTGCAATAATTATTAAAACGCTGATAACATAACATTTCGTTAAGGCACGAACAATCAACATCTTCACACCAGCCTTGCCCACCATAGATAACTACATAATAGGAAACGTCGAAACAGGAAGTTAGGTTTTGTTTGATAAATATTTAAACACAGTTTTTCGACAGAATATCAGCTGATAACCTAATGAGTAATAAATATAAGAGTGTAACAAGGATCGTGTTCTTGATACCTAAAGAGAATAACCAAGTACTTAAAAAAAGAAACGTTAATAAGTATATGAATTTAGGGAAGCGACAATACCAATGATTCGCCGTGGAACAAGTGACGGTCAACTTAAATATTTATTGTTTAAGATAACCTCTTTTCAGTACTGTACCATTTAACATTTCCGCTTGCATTCGGAATGTTAACACTTTTAAGTCAAGCTCGATTCTGGACTCTAAAAGATGAAATAATAATAAAAACTACAGACTTCAGCTCTTTCAGGTGAGTATTGAGGTTAGGTGCAATAATGAGATTGGCATTTGCCATTGACTCTGGTATATTTAGTACTGTATGGGCACCTTTGCCAAATCAAAAAGTTGCCACATAGAAAACCTGCCAAATTGTGGGTATATCTTAATGGACCTAGTGCAATTAATGCTGTAACATATCACAAGTGCTATCAAATTAAATGTTGCAGTGCAATGATAATAGCATACAAGATGTACATACATTGTTGTGTGCCTTCATACCATTAGCCAATGAATATTCTTGTTTATTTCAGTTTAACCATCTTTTAACACACCATAGTCATAAGACAAATGTATAACCATCTCATTTAAAAGTTATTGGGACACACACACACACACACCAGTGGCAAACCTTCATCTCAGTCATATCATGCAGAAATGTAATTTTACAACCTGGCAATAATAACAAAACCTTTTCCCATTTCCTGCATCAGTACATGCACAAAACAATTTTCAGAACTTGTAGTGGTTAATGTATCCCCTCCCTAGTCTGGCAGTTGCAAATCTATTTTAAATTATACAAAACATAGTCAGTTACAAGTAAAACAGCTTTCATTATATGAAAATTATTCTTGTATCCCTCCAGTTATAGTAGCCTGGAAGAACACACGATTCATTCAGACTGGAGCATCAGATACATCCTTGATGATTATAAAATACCAGGTCTTTTAAATAGCTAATTTTACAAATTGGGAATGGGTATAATTTGTTTACAGATATCATGAAAAAAAGGATGTGACAGATTCTCCATATAATGAAAGTAAACGGTCGTATGCTGAGAAAAGAGGCATGACATGGTTACTACAAAATAAGAGGCCTACAAAACTCAAAGACTGTGTACGTGATCTTGAGGTGAGAGTATCTTCCTTCTGTTGAACTTCATACACAAATAATTTGTCAGCATCAGTTTGTACATGCTAAAGGATATTTTAAAGGTAGCTGCATCTAATGGCTTCTTAGTGCCTCCATATTTAAAGTTTGCCCATTTCAGTATTTTTAAACTGCTATGTATTAAAGCAATTTAGGTGACATTTTTAAAATATGTTTCTCAATGGGTACTTTGTATCCAGCTAGATCGATAGTGTATAAATGTCACTTTGTTCCAGGAACTACTTGCTCATCATAAAGTGGTACTTTTAAAATGGAGGGATAATTGTACATTACAAATAATGCTGAGTTCGGGGATGCTCATCAATATCTGCATTAATATTTTTACTGGAGATATACTCAAAATAGTATTTGACAAATACCTGATTGGGAAACTATTGTCTGAATATATATCAGATGGTAAGTATTGAGCATGTGTGTGGCAGCAGAGGCCTTTTTCTTTGATTATATTTTCATTTCTGAGATTTGAGGAGTTCCCATTGCAGTACCTTAATACTACAGTTAATAAGTATTAATTATGAATATACTTGAAATAGAATCTTTTTCTTTTTCCATATTTGGACTTAAACAATTTTATTTTTTGTTTATTTGATACTGCTATCAATACCACAGACTATTTGTATAAAATGATACAGTGATTAATGAATAATGAACTGGAAAGGATACAAAAGGAAGCAGTCATGGTCTAATTTAAGACACTGCCCCAGAATTTGCCTGGAAGGACTGAAAATGAAAGGCTCAGTCAGGATAATCAGTGTCCAGGCCACGATTTGAACCAGAGACATTGAGAAAATATAAATCAGGAGTACCAACCATTTGACCTTAACTTTCTGTTTAAACAGTTTTGGCTGTACCATTGTGTAAGGTGTCAATTCTGAAAAAGAGAAATAAATGTTATATTCATAAACATTGGTAAGATCCATAGATAATTGCAGGAAACATATGAAATATATTATTATTAAGAATGTTTAATACTATCCACAGTTGTTGCATCTTTATTCAGTTCACATTAAAAGAACTAGAGCTAATGTTACATTGATATTTTTCAGTTATATTTACGAAAACACATCTGATGTGTTCATATAATGATAATCAAATTACTCTGATCTACTTTACCAAACCTGTAATAAAATATATGCCAGAGAAACTGAGTCGGCTGGAGCCAAAGTTACAAGTTCTGGAACTGGCTGGCCCATCAGGCCGTCGATTAGAAAGAAAATTATCCTGCAATGTCCCTGGAGATATGGTAAGTTTAATTTTAGTCAAAATTACAAGACAAATCTGTGCAAGTCATTTATAAAATATTAAATTAGGTTGTGAAAGGCAGTACCTAAGATGTTTCATATATTTTAGGTTTTAATTTGGTGGCGCTGTACAAGAGATGAAGTCTATCCTTGGAGTCCACTGGTTAAAGATCAAGATAGAGCAAATGTGCATGTTTATGGAATAAATGGGTAAGAAAAATTTCTTGATAATCCTCCATCTTCAGGGCTATCATTTCATCAATTCTGAGACAGTGTTTGAAAAACTTCACTTTTCTTTATGAATGTGAATTTAGAACAGTATAGTTTTTAAGAAAGAAATTATACTACGGTAATTACCATTAAAATTATCTTCTTTTTTCAGTACAAAGGCAGAACTCTTGTGCTTCTACAGAACAGAATTTGATCCAGTTTGTGTGTCTTTCAGCCAAGTGCAATCAAATGTAATCCATTCAGTTGAACAGAAAGTATCAAGAAAGGTGACAATAATTTACTTTATATACCAGTAATTGCTCTGCATGAAATAAATATAGTTTTATAATAACTGTTTTACAATTAAATTTGTAGCATGTGCACAGATGATGTGGATGTTTCATTTGTAGGGTTGGCAGTATGTACAACTGCTACTAAGATTCATTTTATCTGTAGCAATTACTAAACCTCTCCCAATTTTAGAACTATTTTGTTACCAGTCTAGTATAATGCTAATAAGGGTTTCTTTATTAAAGTGGTTATAACATTTGATAAGCCGTATGATTCTCATTATAAGTTGCTATCTCATATAGAAATGAAATCACTGACCAGCTACAGACTTTCCAACTTGTTCTACTCTTATTCTTAATTAACATGGTTTTCCAGAGACATGGGACAGCCAAAGCCACATGACCATTTCTCCCCATTTTGTATTTTGACGTAACATGTCTAGTTAGTCCACTTAATGGTACCTGCACCTTGTCGTGGTGGTGGGGCTTGAGCACCTCAGTGACCCCAAGAGCTACTGGTAGGGCCTCCCTAGCCAGATTGGTCGAGGGGGAGAGGTCAGACTAAGACAGGTACCCTGGTCCTCCAGGTTGGGGGTTGGTAGCAAGGCTAACAACCTTGCACCATAAAAAGTAAGATGTTTCGAAACCTCGATCAAAGCCTCGGACAGACGGACCTAACAGAGGACCGAATGGAAGAGGAGAATTGAGGAGGCCATGGGCCGAATACGGACCGGAGAGCCATAGGAGAACATGTCTAGTTTTAAATTCTTACAATGTGGTTTCTCTTTATATTAGGGGGAGGTGACTGTGGAAAGTTGTACTTATGAGGTCAACAAGTCAAGGTTACAGCGTACATCTGTGACATCAATACCTCTCCAAACACAAGTTTGTTGTCATGGTTTCAGTCCTGATGAACAAAAGTTGCTACTCGGTTGCATCGATGGTTCCCTGGTTCTGTTTGATGAAGGAAGAGGAATCACGCATTTGGTCAAAGCAGCTTTTGTAAGATTGTATTCTAAAAATTTGGCAAAATAAACTTTTGAAGTGCATGAATCAACACAGTGATTTGCATGGGCCTCCTATTTTTGGTCATAATTTGTAAGATTAATTACAGAAAAAATATAAGCATGCAGTGACATTAACCTGTTAACTTTCAGGTTTATATAACTCTACCAACATTATGATTTTAGGAATGAGGTAGTTAATCAGAGTTCGTTAATAATGCTACAGTTGCCATTTTCAGATTTCCACGATGGTCTCCTGGCATCCTGATGGAACAATTGTAGTTGTGGCAAATGAAAGAAGCCAATTCCAATGTTATGATATTGCTCTGGCTTGTATTAAGAATCAGTTAATAAGTGAAGATGTGACACCATCCAATCTGCTGGATTTAGCGTCTTATTTTAAAAATCAACCGACACTTGTCCAAATGGAATGGAGCAAAAAACCACACGTGCCTCACTACTCTGAAAATTATGTACAAACGGATGGACTCCTGCTGTTACAGTTTGAGAGGTGAGACTACGTGAGCTGATCCTATTAATGTTTCAAAATCTGAGATATTTCACACTGTTAAAAGCTCCCACACTTTTAATGAGATTGTGAAAATTAAATAAGCATTATAGTTAAAAGCTGGATACCAGAAATCTCTAAATATGATATGCCATACTTTAAAATATGATAAAAATTAAAAAGAAAATTTCTTCGTAACATGAGGTTTGCTGATGCATCCAAATTTCGGACCAAAAAATCCTATAGTAGAAGAATTTGATTGTGAATAAAAAAAAAAAACTTTTCAACTATATGATATGTTTCATCATTATTAGGGGTCCGTTGGCTGTGTTACGTCTTGTAGGAGGTGGGGGACTGAGAGGTGATGCTTATGGTACGGGCCTCACTCCAGATGTACTGGTGTCACAGTACCTGTCTGTCAATCAGGTGGATCGAGCAATTAACTTATTACTCAGTCTCAACTGGGATTCTTATGGCTTTATTTGCCTATCTTGTCTTCAGCGAATTGCTAATCACCTGTTCAGACAACCGCTGACACCCGAAAGAGAAGGTGAGAGAGAAATAACCACTTTGCAAACCCTTATCTTGATTTGTCCTGTACCGTAAAGATTTAAAAAAAAAATAAAAGGTAACATTGTACTTGTGCCAAAGCATAATGAAGACATCCATGGTAATTAGAGGTAAACAGCTCATAGTCTTATCCTCAGGACTGGATACAAATGTAATGACTAAAAAGCACTAAGAAATTAAAATTCACTGAGACAAGTTGAGTTGTATGCATGTTTTTCATGGCTCTAAACAAGCATCTCGAGAGAATTATTTTCCAAGTGTTCCATATGAGTCCCAGACGACATGTACCTCTTTATGCTTTACTTTGTTGCGCAGTTCAGCTACAAACAGCGTTAGGAAGTTTCCATGTTCCACTGAGACCCATATGTCATACAACGGAAGTTGAATTTGGGGATCAAGTAAGAAATTTGACTCGTCGTTTCTTTCACCATTTACTAAGGTAAGGATTTAATTTACCGCTGTGATAACGAGTATACTGGAAGACGCAAAGTGAATTAACGCTGTAGTTAGCAACCGACCTGACAAGACTGGATCCTGAGTTTTAGGAGAGACAATGTGAAGAATACCAGCCCGTTCTTGCTTCTTTCTTGATATGTACCACCTACAGTCAGTTCACAGTAAGATTATTACATATAAAGTTGATGCAGGGAGTTGATACTTTGAGCAGACTGCGTACGGAAATAGGTCTCGTTAACTGGTTCTGAAGAGGAATAGGTATGGTCCAGGACTTGAAGAGGAATACTTCCTTAATTCACTCTGTAAAATAAATAATACAGTACAACCATATCATATTATTTGCTTCCACAAAATGCCTGTTGTCATTCACTCATTCCAGTGACACTTAAAATATGTGTTGTAAAGTTCCTTTGAAAGACTGTGGGTTGATTTTTATTTTTTGTGAGTAATGTTGATCCTTACCCCCCCCCCCCCCCCCCCCACAGAACCACAACTCCAGTATTTGTTAACATATTAGACCAATGTAGTCGTCATAGGTGGTAAATAAGCATATGCAAAAGTAATTTCATAAATTATTAAAGTATTTTTCAGTTACAGCATCAGCTACAACAGAAAGAACTTTTGTTGCAGGTACCGGCTTTTTGAGAAAGCTTTTCGACTAGCGATTGATCTAAATGATCACGATCTTTTCATGGATATATACTTCTATGCTAGAGCAATGAAAGAGGATGCCATGGCTGAAGCAGCGCGAGTCAAAGCAGAACAGATTGTGAACAGATGTAGCAGTAGAAGCACTTCTGAAACAGGTAAAATACTGTACAAAACAAATTCTGATCTGTACATTTGACTTTATTAACATTTGTATGCAGAAGGGTGTAATGACAAAACAAACAAAAAAAACTGGGTATCCACTTTCCTCGAGGTTCCTCCACCAGTATTTTGCGTATGCTACTCGTTACTTTCACGTTTTCTGTCTAAAAATTAGTTTGTACCAGCTGCTTTGTTGAAGCTCAAAATTTCTCATTTATGAAATAAATACAAATTAATTAGTAGCCCAGTCCATAAATGCAAGCAAAACAAAACTTTTGTTTTTCAGATTCACAGCGCTGTTCTCACTCGTCGTGTTCCGGTTGCTCTGGCAGCGAAAGCAGCGAGAGTCGAGAAAGCTCTAGCGACAATGAGGCAGAAATACCCCCACAGCCTCCTCCTCTTCCGTCCAAATCTGCAGTAGGACTAACTCACAATAGCAGTCTTGCAAGACAGCCTGGGGAGAAACAGAAAGTAAAGTTCTGTGATACAGTGACACATATTTTGGTACCTGTACGTACAATTTTTATATATTTAAATGTTTGTCGATTAAATGCTTAATTTTAGAACAGCATTTCTATTTGAAAAACAGGCTTTCCATTAATCTAAATTAGAATCCAGAACATCAAGTGGAAGATCACTGTCTGCTGCATTATTAAAAGTGTTAAATCTTCCATGGCATATGCATCTAATAACATTAATTTTACCTTCAACAGGATCTTCCGCCATGTTTAGCCGAAGAGGAAGAGTTTGAACCTCAGAATGGCCCTTGTAGCAGTAATAATACTGTCATTGCCATCAAGCCAGAGAGAGAACAACCAAGACATAATTTTTTTGTGCCTGATCCAAAGCAAGAATTAGTGGATAGCCTTCCGTTGTGTCTTGGAAACAAAGATTACTTAAAAGACTTTGCCACATTACCAGGTATGTAAAATCATTTTACGTTGATACAATATTATATTTCTGAACCAGTGTAATGCAACAAGTGACGTGGACTATATTTGCATTTAAAGTATAAATCTGTATTTCTAGTCTTTAAAACTATTAATTTTATTTTGTTAGTCTTGTAATATTGTTTTGCAGATGCCTCAGAAGAAGATGATAATGGAAATGGTACAATACAGATTGTTAACTTTGGAGTTGTGTAATTAATGCTGGAGAACGTCACCTCTTCAATTGTACATACCCACAGTAATACTCACAAGTGCCAAATATCCCTGAAAAATAATGTCTCCACAACAATTATCTTATTTCATGACAGAACTGCACGATGAAGAGCCTCGTACCTTGCCAAATATTATAAGGGTGATCAGAGCAGAAGAGAAGGGTTGGACATGGTATAAAATAATTAACAGAACTCGGTTTTATCAAATCTCATCAGTTAGAAAGCCAGAAGTAATACAAGCAGCTGAAGGAACGATGTATACCGTGAAGTCCAATCATATATGCATGAACTAATTCTATTTGGTAGTTCACGATGACAATGCAACCACAAACGGTGATGCGTTAGAAACAAAACAAGTATAAAATTTACTGATAAAAAGTATTGCTCAATAGAAAGTCTATTTTAAGCTTTTTCTTTATTATGTAAATACTTGATAGAGAAATATTTTGTCTTTTTAAGTGCATAGTTATCATCATAGTTGTCTTTGCCATTAAAATTGCTAACAATTTTATATCATGAAATTAACACAGCAATAACTAGATATATCAATGCCATCTCTTTACTATATGAAACAATAATTGTATCATTAATGATTTTTATAAATATATATTTTTATACCTTTTCACTATATAGTTATACCTATTTCCTTTTAACATTTGGGTTTCGCAGTTTCTCGAGCTCGGATTTCAGTTCCAGCAGCTGTACGTCGGGTATGTACCGCAATTCTTCATATGCTTCTTCGTGTTCATGAACTGTCATGGTTACACCCTCAGGTAATGCTGTCTGCAACACCTCAAAAAAAATTGAACCTACTGTTGACGGTAGGTCTACCACCTGTAACAGAAAATCTACATTATTAATATGTTCAGTATGGATGGGTGTAGGCATACTGAAATTTAAGAAGACAGAGACACAAATAATTAATTGTTAACTCTCAATAAATCTTCCTTATACCTGCCACAGAAATGGGTCCCAAGCATGATTTTCTGTGGGGCTCAAATAACTTCCTAGTCAATTACACATACATGCAATTTCTTGAAGTTAAAAACATCCTGTGTCATTTTGTAAAACTGTTATAGCATTCAATCGTTTAAAAAAGCCCTATATCACAGAACATGTAAAATTTCAAACGGTACGTCTGACAATGATACATAACATGGTTCTCAAAACGATCAGTAAGTAAATACAATGATTTCAGTTCAGTACCCTGAAACCCTTCACTAAAATGTAAACAATTAACTAACTTACCTGAACATTTCTTTCATATATAGCCATTTTATATTCAGCTTCAACAACTGTGCTCTGTGGCTTGAATCTCTGAACTTCAAGATACTGAGGTGGTATTGCCCAACTAGAACGAAGGAATTTGTAAGACCTAACATAATAAACATGGTACCAAGTACCACAAGGACAGCATATGTTAAAAGTTAGTTTGATGATATTAATATCTAATCACCACACTGGCATTCTTTAGGGATGACCTTACCTGGTCTCTTCTGACCCTTGGCAATTCTGGGTGGGCCCCAGAACCAGTCCAAAAGTTTCAGACAATACAAAAATCTGTAGCCCCTGTCAAGAATTGAAGCTCGGTTGCCCATCCTACAGCCTAGACATTATTCCACTAAGCTACACACCTCTTCAGATCCAAATTCAAAACAAAATATGTAAATATAGATGGTAGCAATTTGACTGCAGTCCTCCGAAATGCAACAACCCAAAAGAACACCACCTATATTCACATCATAATGAAAAGTAAAATTCTACAAAATAATGTAATACGAATAACATTTTTATTACTAAGTATCTTAATGAGGTTTAAGACACATACCCATCTTCAACTTCAATATTCATGTTGTCTGCAATCTTGTGCACAAAACTTTGATAGCTCTCCAAAACTGGGAAATCATAACCCTTCAGCTGAATGTTCAAAGCATTATACAGTGGAATTTTTGACTTTCCAGACTGAAAGGAAAATATGACGATTCTTACAACTGGAAGGACTGAGAAATTGTTAGAAACCAGTGATTTTTAAACTAAAAAACATTCAAAATTATTATTCTTGCTGATACAAATTATGTTGTAACAAAGCACTCTTAGTGGGGCTGTTAATCAGGTGACTAATTCAGTTAATTTAAATATAATCATTATGGAGAACTACTTTAAATTACACTATATGGATAAGCATACCAAATCAAATACAAAGCTATAAAGAGTTCAAGTAAGGAAGTTACAAATTCATTGTCTTAATAAATCACAATATTAAATTTTCATACCATGAATATAGCAATATCATTAAATATTAGAGGTTGTCAGCAGATATGTTTTGACAGATTAATTGATCCCCTAAGCAGTATTGTAAATTATTAATAAACAGTAGATTATCATCATTTGAACATCAGATTAGTAAATGATTCTTAATAGCAATGAACTTGGGACTTCTGGCTATGCACTTATTGAAATATCTGGACTTCCCCAACTCCTTCCAATCCTTACAAAAACAGTAAAATGGAATGATGTTCTTCAGGGTTAATAAGCAGAATACATAATTCTAGTGACCAACATTCTAGAATCATGGTCTTTCTTATCTTTATGCCTTTCATCTGTAACTAAAAGTTTTAACTCCTGGAATCTAAGAGATCAGAAGCTTTAAAAACTACACAATCCATGGGCACAATAGAACAATATAACCTCACATTTATGCTGAGCCCTAGCCACTAACATAACCTACATGATACAACAGACAATAAAAAATATAAATTGCTGAACAGGTACGTTTCCCATCTGCAGCAACACTTTAATACAACAACAGACATGTAGAACTACAAAAGTACTTTGACATATTAATTATATTATGTTCTACCATAATCACTATCCAAAGAAAACATACCTCTAAGTAGTCAGGCTCAAAGATGCTGGTGCTACAACGTTGAGCAAGTGAAAGTGGACGAACCAATTGTTTTATGTGGTGACATATCAATGCTGATGAATGTTTCTACAGGTTTGTAAATACACAGAATTAGAATACAATTTCCAGACATAATATATTTTAATACATGAGGTTTATGATGACATTAGCAGAAGAATTCTATAAATGTTTGTTGTTATTCATTTCAAAAACTGTTACCATCAAGTCTGCTTTTCCAGACAGAACACCAAAACATCAACATATACCATACATAAATAATTGGACCAAAGAAGAACACAGTCTGGCACTGTCACTACATAATAATACTACCATGCAAAACTGAAGACAGTGCCCTGGCACCTTCCTTGGGTTTTAAATCTATTGGACATAGAGCACAAGACAATTATGAGCTGAGAATGCAGTGCAGAATTCTGGTAGGGAACCTCATGGAATAAGGTTACTTTGTAAACACAGAAGGGAATGGAAAATTAACAATAAAACAGACATAACAGAAACAAATTCTGGCACTGGAAGATTAATGCAATTGGCTTTGGGTATGTCTAATAGCAGGTAATAGCAATGATATTTCAAGTTCTGCAACATGAGTTTTAGTTATTCGGCCTGACAACTAAGGAACACTCAATTTATTACGAAAAAATTCATCCAATATGTGTTTCAGCTTAGGAATGCTGACTACGAAGTCTCTACCTTAGGGCCGAGAGTACTGTATTATAATTATACAACTTATTCAGTGATCAAATGTTGGCAAACAAAAATTCCCGAAATTAATGAAATACCATATAAAAACTTACGGTACTATATAGAACTTCAAAACTTGAAATTCATAATGCGTACAAGCCTTCCTACTTCAATGACTGTTCACAAGTAAACTTACCTGAATAAAAAATGACTTTAATAACATCTTCTAAAAGATTTACTACTAAACTTACGAAGATTTTTATATACCCGTTCCTTACCCCAAATATATACACCACTGACATCCAGAGGCGATCTCAATGGTCACACACCACAGAACAAATTTCTTCTTCTTCTTGGCGCTACAGTTCAAAGTTGAAACCTAACCTCTTCAAACTTTCGCCTCCATTCCGAGAAATTTATCACAAATATTCTAAAATAATGTATTTTATAGCCTGTGAAGGGCACAAACCGTACTTTAAAGTGCCAAGGTTACGAAACGAACATCCCCATGCAAAATAACGATTGCTGAGTCGGTAATAACGTTAACTACTACATAACCATACTCAATTACATTGAAATCACATACATCACAAAACCAGATGTAAAGTACGAGTTGTAATTAACAAACGAGGTGTATATGTGATACACACAGAATTGTCCAATTGTAATTGGACAGTTTCATTTTCCCATAAAGGACACAAATGGAAAAAAAACCAGGATGATGAATTACAAGGATGGACATCTGCCAATAAATAAATGCCAAGTGAATATAAAACAGTTTTAATACATAAAAATAAGGAAATATCTTGTACTTTGTACCACATTTTCATTCTTTAGTTGTTTTGTCTCACACATTGCACTGAAGTGTTTCCAAAGCTCCATACCTCCATCAAATGAGACTAAACAAAGTTCCCTTCAACACACCAACTGTAAAAAATGTTGTGACGCTTAAAAAGTCAAAATACTGACTACGTTGTGAGGACAGTACCCTTAGTTAAATCACAATTCCATCCCTGACCAAGCACAGCCATTACAACCACTAAAATACTCTCTCTTAAATCTAATCTCCCACTTTGGTTGTGTAATTCTCAGTAGGACTAGATTATAACCTAGTTCTGCTGAGAAGCTCATAAAAAAGCCACGACTGCTTTATGACAACATATTCCAACATCATCCAATAACTAAACTTCCCCACAGCCTTGCCACTAACAAACAAAATAACAAATTTATTAACACACTATTCAATAAGTTGCATGTTTCTGACTAGACAGCTCAATCACAATGTACTAAAATAATACTGTCCACACAAATATGGATCCCAATGTTTATCTTCACTTGAAATTTAAGTCCACTGCTGTCTCTGTAATATGAATTTAAGGCAGATGCTTGTTCAATTGCTCCCATCAGAAACTGCATGGCAATTGATCTCAATAGACCATTGAAAATGCATTCTTCTCTCCTCATTACAAGCACGACCTAGTGATTATTTTCAACATTACGCAAGAGGATAAATTTAAAGAATTTTAGGGAATTTTATTTCATTATAACCATTATACTGTTTTTATAAGTTTATATCTGTGAACATACTAATGCTTTTGAATTTAAAAAAGAAATTAAAAATTTAATGGCTTTGAAATGAAGATATACGGACGGAATCTCTAAGTTAGAGGAAAATCCGCTGTCGGCTGTCTGCAATTGCTTGTAAAATATATTCACAGCCACCCTCCATATCTGGAGATGTGGTAGCAAGGGACACACTAAATATGACTTAA